CCTGAAAAGACGGCGACTCAGCGGGCGACACCAGATTTCCGCCGACGGAAAGCACCTTGTCGACGGCCTCGCCTTCGGGCGCCCCTGGCTCAGAGCCCCCCGAGACCGCCCTACTGTCAGTCTTCCTCCGAGAAAGAAGGCTCGAATCACATACATCAGCGAAGATGAAGACTCCCCTTCTGAGGCCGAGGCAGAGCGGCCGATGCTGGAGTACGAATCCACAAGAGCACAGGAGGATCCCTCGAGCGTCCAGCTCCGCACGCGGTTCTACGATGCAGATGTAGGCAGCGACTCTGAAACAGATGAGGACGATTTTGAGCCTGCCGCCGCCGACGATGACGATGAGGGCCTGGACTCAGATAATGATGATATTCAGGATGAGCTTCGTATGCTTCGAGAAGACAATGCCGCCGTTAGAGAAGGCGATATTCTCGAAGAGCTGCGAAAAATTAGAGACAGGAGAGCATCCAGTGGAACCGCTAGCAGCAGGCACTCGTTGGAGACGTCTGATAACTCTCCAGTACCGTCAGCGAGCAATGCGCTAGTCAGATCTGGAGGAAGGTCAAATAGGTTCCAGCTAAACTTAGACACGCTCGACAAGATTGCTGCACTGAGAGCCGCGTTCCCTAGCGCTCAGGTCTCGACGATCGAAAGGGCGCTTTTGAGATACGGCGCGAACTTCGCTAGAGTATATCGCAAACTGAACAAGACATTCGAATCCCGTCTCAACCTCCAGCAGACTTTGGACCATCAGGCGAGGAGTCTGTCCAGCAGTCCAATCCGACACGCGAACTCGAACGCGGGGCGTGAGCTCGTTCTCCGGGAATCGAGCCCACTTGCTCGATCCTCTCACGCCACATCCCATGACCAGGATGAAGAGGAGGAAGAGGATGAGGATAGCGATGAAGCTTCAGAGACCCTAAATCATAATGCATACGCCGATCGTGCTTCGATTGGCAGTGACGAAATCTCAACTCCGGACTCCGAATCAGGTTCCGACGGCGCAACATCTGAGTCTGATGAGGAGATGGGCAACGCTTCCGAAAATGATACAGTTGCCTCTTCTTCCGATGACGATTCCGACAGCGAATCAAGTCAACCGGGAGGCGGGGGGCCTATTGCGGATGAAGACAATTCAGACTCGGCCGACGAAGAAGCCTCGAGCTCAGACGACGAATCGAGCTCCGACAATTCATCCAGCGATGAGTCAAGTGTGGCATCTGCAAAAGACCGGTTGTCCGCAAAACAGGCCGCGATCGTCGAGGTCTCATCCGATTCGTCGTCAGATTCATCTTCAGACGACAGCAGCAGCGAAGATTCTAGCTCGGATTCCGAACCTGAGGAGCTTCCCAGCAAGACCCTCTCTACCCAACGGATCCGTTTTGAATCCAACGAAATCCTGGAGCTGCAACAAGCAGCACCAGTCGCCGCAGCCCAGACACAGCAAGATCAGCCCAATGTGCCTCCTGGTCAGGGATTGAGCAAGACGCAAAAAAGAAATGCGAGGCGCAAACTTGCCAAGAAAATGGCCGGCCAGAAGAGGTCCCCGTCGGCTCAGAATAGCGAAGAGTTCTCTCCAGCGGAGATGTCTGAGATGCAGGCAGTATTCTTGGCAAGAAAGCAAGCCTTACTGAACGCTATTGCATCCGACGGCCCAGCTGAGACTAGCCAAGAGAAGTCCCTTCAGATACCCGACTCTGCACCTCAAGATGTTGAAACATCAACTGCTGATGCCGACATGATGGAGGTCTCACAGAGCCCTGTCGCGCAAGAAGCTGCCTCTCAGCGGCGCATGAAGCCCAACGTTGGAGCTGCCCGCCGCATGCTCATGGGATCTTTGGGGCTCAAGAACCCGAAGAACAAGGATGACGAAGACAAGATTCGTCAAGATTTGATGAAGGGTGTCCGGCCTCACACCAACGCTCGTCTGTCAGAAGGGGCTTCTCAGCCTAGCGAATCCGCACAGACCCAAGAATCGGTACAGGAAGATCCCGAAGCATGGCGCGAGAAAATCGCTTACCGAGCCGTAGAATGCTGCCACGACGGGGTCGAGCTTTCCGAACCGCCCTTTCCTTTTGTCCAGCGTTGGGACCCCCAACAGCAGGTGGAAGAATGGTTCGGTTCGAAGAATAAGCGCGGGGGCAAGCGTAAGCGCGTACAGCGCGATCAAGCTCAATATCAAGAAAATGCCGACTCTCAATCGTCGAAGAAGCGTCGCGTAACCGATGACAGTTTTGGTGTGACCTTCTCCGACGCGGTTGAGTCTGCTCAAGAGGGAGACACGACACTCAACTATGACGATCCGTCTGACGATCCACCAGCAACCAAGAAACCAGCTGAGGAAAGCCAGGCGACGGATATTGACGATCTCCCTTCACTTCCATCCGATCTGTCCACTCTTCCGGACCTTCGCCCAGGAGAAGCCAAACTAGGCATGGTTGTCACTTGGAAGCAACTGGTCTTGTCATCACAAACCAACTGGCAACCCCAAGTGGTGAGCTTGACCGGCGTTCTCGTCAGGATCTATGATGAGGACGCATCCGATCTTGAATTCATATTGGCTCATCGTGATCGAGGCGTCGATCGGACCGAGAAGACCTACGATGAAGAGACTGGGGAGAGAGTTTACGATCGCTTTGAAGCCCCCGATGATGACGAGGATGATGAGGATGCAGAAAACGAACTCGAAGAAGGACATCGACGCGTGAATTATCTAGAACTGATCGAGCCCAAGATTGTACAGTTTCCTCTGGAAGATGACACAAAACAGGCCGGAAACGAAAAATCCGGTGCCTCGGAGGGCGAAAGTGGCCCTACAGACAGCGTCATTCACGAAACCATATACGACGGCCAAAGCCAGCCGTCTCAGGTTGATGGAGAAATTTCCGGTCAGTCCGAGGTGGGTGAAGTTGGAAGTCAGTCAAAAGTCGATGCAAAGGGAAGTCGAGCCAGGGCTAATACGGACGAACAACAGCCTCAAGTCGTCGTGGGTAGTGACCCCCGTCTTGATGCATCCGCGGACGGCGATGAGTCTATTCAACTCGATACACACTTGAATGGTAATGACGACAGTATGAACGAAGGCGACGTGCCCACCCCCCGGGCCAAAGGCCAATCGAAAAACAATAGTACAGTGCCGACAACAGACGACGACTCTCAGAACTCCAATGCCAATGCCCTCTCCATCTCGTCGGATCGTCGCCATGAGATCAGCATCATGATCGAAGAAGCAGGCCTTCGCAAAGATGCGTCACCGTCAGTCATTCGTCACAAAACAAGCAGCCCATCCCGCCAGTTGCTCGACCAGCTGCAAGCTGCCAATACACCCCGAGTCATTTCAAAGTCCCCGCTGTCCCAAGACAGCGTTGCGGAAAACGTTGCGCCAGCGCCGGATAATAGTGGAGATGCGGCTACTAAACTTGCCGCTGAAGAGGTCATTCCGCCGCCGTCATCTGTGAGTAGCATTCGCAGTGGTCGGCAACTCGACCCGGATGACTTTAGCTTTCATATGGGAGACGACGACACCCAGCTGATGAGCGACGCTGGTCATGGGTCCCCTTCTGTGGACGCATCGACTCCGAGAGCCCAGGTCCGCACGCCAACCAGAGGTAATGACACACCTGAGCCGAACTCGGGCGAGAAGTCTTCTCTTCCGTCACTGGAGAGCCTGTTCAAAACGGCCTCGCAGCGAAATTCGCAGAAGACCACACAGAGCCCATCCAAGTCCCAGGTATTGTCGGTGGCAGAGTCACGGAAGTCCATTGTTTCTCGCGATGAAGAATACGAAGCCGCCATGCGCCAAATCGACGAGGCTAATGAAGACGGTGAAAATGAGGTAGAAGAATATGAGTCGCCCAATGAAGTTGGGAAAGCACGGAAGAAACTGTTCCCCAAATCGAGCCAGCCAGAGGGAGTGACTCTCTCTGAGTCACCAGACTTGCCAGATCTCAAGCCGACTAAGTCAGTGCCCTCATCACTCGTCGAGGTGGAGGACATCAAGCCCCGTCGACTACGTGAGCGGGTCCGCACAGCCTCTCCATTTGTGGTTCCTCCTGGATCGCAGGTAGTTACATTATCCTCGAGCCCGCCTAGCTCGCCGCTGGAGGAAAATTACGCGGAAGACGATGTTGACGAGGACTATGAGGAAAACAACAGCAGTAGTCTTCCGCATGGATCCGGCTGGCCGCAGAAAAGCAAGCCCCCCAAGAACAACCCGCGGACGAAGAGTGTGCCGGCAGCGAGAGGCACGGCCAAGACGGCGACTGCGGGTAGATCCGTTCCGTCGAGCTCAATGCCCACGAGATCCGCCGCAAAGGGGAAGGGGCCACGCAAGTCATCGGCAAGGTTCTAGGAAATGTTGTCTGGTAGGAAGCGTTAGGCAGATAGTGTGGCAGGGCGTCTGCATGTGTATGTAATAGGGGGTCGAGAAGTTCTCTCGACATGTTTACTAGCTTTCTCTTTGCTTTGAGAAATAAGGATACCCGTACCCGGCAGGGTACTCTGCATCAATGGAACATATTGTGCAAAAGTCAACGTCCGCTATCCATTCACGCCGTTCTTGCATGAGCTGCGGTGCAATCGTGCAAGTGACCCGTTTGATCGAAACAGGTTTTGTGGAATTCCGGACTAGTAGGGTGTAGATCTACGGGTGTGCTTGCCGCTGTAACATCGCGTCGGACGCTGTCGCCTGCATTGTTGCGTGTAAATCACTCAATGTGGGCGTCTTGTCAGCTGTATGCGACGAGTCCCGCTGTATGGGCTGCGGATCGGGTCCGAAATGGACGGACCACGGAGTTTGAGGGTAGCCGATGGCCGAGCCTGGGGAAATCAGTCCGTTGGTGGTCGGTGGTTGGGGCCGGTTGTTTCGCCGACTTGCGTTGAGCTGATGAACCTGTGCGTGCCACCCGTGAAGTGAAGGATCCCTGAGCTTCGTGGTTCGTCTTGACTTTTTGCTTTTTGACGACGACGAATAAGCTTATTCTTGGCATTCTCATAAACTTTCACGTTTGCGAACCTTGTACTCCGTCAATCAGCCAACGACAGGAGTCTATATCCCAACTAGACTGGACCATTTTCCTTGCCGATTTCGAAAAAGATAAACGATGATAACTGGCAGGGAAGTAGGGGGTGAGGAACAGGCTCTCTACCAGTGTTCCAGATGTCGACGCCGCTATCATCGTACGGAGCATCTTGCGCGCCATGTCAGATCTGTGCATACTAAGCAGAGGCCGTATACGTGTAGGGTCTGCGGGAAGGGGTTTGGCAGATTGGATGTTTTGAGGAGGCATGAGACAAACGCTCATGATGGCGGTGGTAGTCGGTCTGAGTCTGAGACGGCGTTGATTGTTGTGGAAGGGGAGAGGAACGGGGCTGATGAGTTGTCGAGGGAGGTTGATGGGGGCGAGAGGGTTAGATCGGCGTGTAAGGCGTGCAAAGCTGCCAAGGTAAAGTGTTCTGAGAGAAAGCCTTGTGCGAGGTGTATTGGACGGGGAGGCTTGTGTGAGGTTGAGGGGGAGAACTGCGTTGGTGGCCCCGATTCTGGTTCTGGTTCTGATTTTTTGGACGAGGTCCAAGGTGGATCGGAAAGTTACACGCAAACGCGACTGGATAGTCAAGGGACCCTCGACGAGACGGCGCCGGCGATGATGACTATGGATGACTTTCCCTTTGGCGCGGAGTGGAACATCGCGATGTCGGATTTGTCGTACCTGCAGACTCGGTTCGATGCGGCTGGGCTGGAGGGGCTGGATGCCATCGCATCTGATAGTTCGAGACAGACACAGGAGAAGGAACAGGAGCAAGAGCAGAACGGCTTAGCCGGTATGTCCATATCGCCACCCATGACGCCGGAAAGCCATAGGACTGGATCTTGGGAGCCGTCGAGTGATGAGAACAGCGAAATGGAAAGACCGCACCTCGCGGCGGACGAGGAGAGTTTGAAGGCAGGGAGAACATCCTGGACATCAAAGACGCCTTGCTTCGGTAGCTTCAGTGTTGGAAATGGCAGCGATGTTGTCGGTTTATCCATCTCGCCAGTGGCGCGGAACGCTATTGTCGGTATGATCCTCGACAACACATCCCGTGCAAACGCTGGACCTGTTCTGGCTGCTTTCCCGTCGGTGGAGGCGCTCAATGCGCTTTTGGAGGTGTATGCTCGCGACTGCTGGGGGAGAGCATCATCAGTACATTGTTCCTCGGCGGCGACAGCGAAGTACGGGATCATCGACGTGGTACACTTCCCTACACTACGTCCTGATCAGCAGAGACCGGAATTGTTGGGTGCGTTGATTGCCGTTGGCGCCATCAGGACTGGTTCGGTTGTGGCAAGGAGTTTCGGTTACGCAATGCAGGATGTCGTGAGGGTTTCTTCTTTTCGGTGTGTGAGTATCTTCCTCAGCCTTCTCCTGTGTCTCTGTTCATCTTAGAGGAGGGATAAAAATATGCTCTTCCTGTCGTTGTTCACTCACTAATGAGATTGATAGTGGGAGAAAAACAACGCGAACCTCTGCGACATCAGTCTATCCCAGGCCTTCTTCCTGCAGCAGCACGTCGCCTTCTTCAGTGGTGATCAGCGCAAGGTTGCGTTCGCGGAAGCCTGTTCTGGATGTATGCAGGTGATGATGAAGAACGGAGGGCATATCCAAGGGGCTATGGAGACTGATCAGGCCCTCTTTCAACTCCAGAATCTTTGTGATCTGGATGAAGGGGCTCTTGAAGACGTCTGGCGGAGGTGGTCTGTCCGTGAAGGAAGAAGGAGGTTGGTGTATGCTACGTACATCATGGATAGCCATGTCGGGATAGTGCATGGGATTAGGGGGATGGCGAGGTACGGAGACATGAGGCTTCCGCTCCCTGCGCCGGAAGGGTTGTGGAGGGCGGAGTCTGCGGCGAAGTGGAGGGAGGAGATGGTACGGCTGATGCCGGGTCCAACGAGACCTCCTTTCTCTTCTTCTGTCTCCTCCTCGCCATCGCCGTCACTGTCTTTGAAGGACTTGATGGGTGATCCGACGCTGGTTGCTAGATCCCATCACCACAGTAAGGTGGACAAGACTTTCGCCACTCTAGGCTTCTATGCTGGTCTCTGGGTGCTTGTCGAAGAATGCCGCCAGCTGAAGGCTATCAGCGGCCACGGAAAATGGAGCGCCATGATTTTATCCTCACGGCGGATGGAGCTGGGTTCGATTCTCAAACTTTTTCATTCCTCTTTACGAGCGACGGGGTGGGCGGTGTCTCCTGGTGCGGAGATGATGTATGAAGTTCTTCATATGTATATCTCGACGTCGCTCGACGGGGATGAGTTCCGTGGTACTGGTTTATCACCCCCACTGTCGCAACACGTTCACGGCGAGGGTTCGATAAATGGGGTTGAGGAAAGCCCGGAGGACCGGAGCGCGGTTTGGAGAGCGGGTAAGGTTCTTCGTACGGCGAGGCAGCTTGAGCCTGGAACGTTGAGTGGGGTCTATTGCGTTGCTCTTCGGGATGCTACTGTTCTCCTTTGGCGAGCGGGGAGGAATATTTCTTTGCGGGAGAAAGCAGCGATAGAGCAGTATCGTCCGGTGCCGAGATGTGGTATTGGCGCGGCTGCTGTGTTGGTGCTGGACGGAGAGGAGGATGTGCCAGAGTATCAGGTATTGGACAGGAACGTTCGCCTTGTGCTGCGTGGTACCGGAACGGAAGAGGATAATGTGGCGCTCGAGGACATGGCGGGTGTGATGAGGCTATCGCGGAGGATTATTGAGGGAAATTGGAGAGGCTTGAGAATGCCGGGCGGTGTTGAGGAGGTTTATTACTTGTTGGATGGTCTTGGGAAGGCGTCCGGTCCATGAGATGTCGCCGGGGGAGAAAGAAGGCAAAGTGAAAGAGCAACTTGCATTTGTTGATGAGGTGTGGCGTCATTCAGCAGGAAGTCCGTATCAATACCTCCTTCTCGTCTCCTAGCTGAAGGCGGCAGTTGGCAACTCAGCAGACTACCGTGGGTGGGACACCGATCGGCTTCACTCCACCAGCCGATTCTGAGTCCAAGATTTTGCCTTGTTATCAACAGCTCTCTGGGCACTGTTTGACTATTTATGTAAGAACTACGTGTACATTCCCACCTATGCCTCTTCCTCCTAGGCCGCTTCTCCTTGGAATGCTTCTGTTCCTTGTGTCGCGTTCTGGAACAAGTTGATGCATACTTTTACTGATCAGCGTCATGAACGGTCCATCCGAGAAGCATATCATAGAAGCCAAAATGGGAGACATTGTTATTGTGGTGACTGCATTCCCCCTCACAATCGAGTTGAATGAGAGACACGCGATACAACCTTGGGGCTGCTCATCAATCCACTCGTTAAGCAGCGGCTTAAACGAAACACGTAGCACCTTCATCCCTCTGTCGCTACTTCTCCTCCCCTTCACCGAATTTCATACATATCGGATCAGTTATGCAAAGTGACGCTAACGGCATCTGCGGAAGGTGGTGCAGCTGAGCCGAACCAGCTAGCTAGCCTCCGTGCTAAGATCGCCGGCTCGGCTCTCCACCTCCGGATGACCCCTCCTAGTTGAAGGTAAGCAACATTCTTACGTCAACGTGTCAACGTTATAATCCTTCGAGAAATTTTTAGTGATTATAACTCCTGAATAAACTTCAGGTCAAGCTTTCTATGAACTACCCCATCTCCTAAGGAAATCCTGGTGTGTGGGTTCTTGAGTTACTCATACCCGCCAAAAGTACTCGTACCTTTCACCAGCATGACGTCTTATTGCAATACGCGAGATGAACGATGGAGGCTCCCGCCTCGAAAGGCCCTCCACCCGACAGAAAAGAGCGAGAGGCTTCAGATTGGCATCATTGGAGCGGGAATTGGAGGCTTGATGGCCGCCATCACCCTACTGGAGAGTGGCCACGATGTCGAGGTAAGCCCTTTAGGCTAGACCTTACCTCTCCTTCATTAAGAAATCACTAAAACCTTTGAAGATCTATGAAAGGTCTCAGTTCAAGAGCGAGGTAGGGGCTGCGATCTCGACACCTCCCAACTCCACGAGAGTGCTCGACTACTACGGGTTTGACTTCGAGCGGGCCAGGGCCACCATCGCGGAGAAGGTATGTTCTATCACTACGCCTCAAGTCCACTTATACAATGAAGAGATCCTTTAATTATCTGAATTCTAATTCGCATGGAAAAGTACATCTACTACGACGACCCCAACAACATTGACAAAACGCGAATGATAACATGCACGGATTACACACCCAGATACGGCGCCCCCTGGCTATTCTTTCACCGCGTTGATCTCCATAACGAGCTCAAGCTTTTAGCCACGGAGCCGACACCGATGAGGAAGAGCGTTGCTCGCTTGCACCTTGGCGTCAAGGTGTCTGATATCGACACCGATGGCACCATTCACTTTGAAGATGGCACGAGTGTGCAAAAGGACATACTCATCGCGGCCGACGGCATACGAGTAAGTCTCACTCATCTGACTCTGAAGCAGATGAAAGCCAGAAATGCAGAGCCTTTTGTAACGACTAATTTTGGTCCCAGTCTTCCTTCATCTCAAAGGTCGTGGACAACGCCCCGCAAGCACAGCACTACATGTCGATGCTCCGATTGATGGCTCCAGTAGAGGACCTCCGTGACGACCCGGATGTCGTAGCTCTTTTTAAAGATGGTTTGACTTCGATTCGCATCAGCTATGGGACCATGCGAAGTGCCATTATCTACGGATGTCGAGGGTAGGCGTCACCCTAGTCAACTCCGCCGCTTGCCCCCTGTATTTCCCAGGAGCTGACAGGTTCACGCACTACAGAGGCTCGCTTCAAAACATCGGCTTGCTATACCATCCTGACCTTGCCATTGATTCAGAAGGTAAGCGACTCAGGCCAAACTTCCATGAGAGAGCTCTCTGCTCACCTCTCATTATCAAGGCAACGACATTTCGGCGAGAGAAGACTTTGTCTACAAAGTCGTCGAAGAGTATCCGAGGCCTGTACAATCCGTCTGCATGTAAGTTTCAAGCTTCCAAGAAATTCCAGCAACAGAAACAGGTCTCATTAACCAATCTCATGATTCATAGCAATGCAAGAGGCGTCGGACAATGGAAGGTCTTCACCCGAAAGCCGCTCGACAGGCTCGTCCGAGGCCGAGTGGTCCTCATAGGAGACGCCGCACATCCCATGCCCCCAGGTAAGCAGGATCCTACTATATCACCACAGAATCCAGTAACTCCAGTATCAAGCCAGGGTCTCGATGATGGCTGACAATCCCTATTTTCATATAGTGCGCGCTCAGGGTGCAGCCATGGCGATCGAAGACGCCGGAGCGCTAGGCGTGCTTCTCTCAAACGTGACATCGAAAGACGACATCTCAACCCGACTGGACATGTTCAACCAGCTGCGGGTAAAGCGCGTCGCCGCAACGCAGACCGCGTCTTCGATGCACCAGTGGGACCCCACTCGTGTTTCCGAGGAGCAGAGACAGTACTTTGACGGCAACGTCCCACGTAAGGATATTCCTCCTTGGATCTATGTCGTTCGAGTATCTGTACTAATCACCGATTCTTCTTCTCGGGACATCCAGAGACTATTGAGGACATTGAAATATTCAGTTACGACAACAGTGTCATTCGCGATGCATTTGACCTCTTGGAAAGGGCTTGATGTAGAATTGGTAGCATCCGGGGGTTCAGGCAGGATGAGATAGTGAGGCTAAGAAGAATTCGCATCTCGTAGTCGGTAGGCGATTTCATCCTATGTTTATTCCAAGGCATCAAACGATTCACGTGAGCACCCTACCTTCCCAACTGACTAAACGAGAAGGGTATATACCCCCCCTCCACGCCACTCCTGTCACCAGCCAGCAGGCGCCCCCTTGGGGGTCAGGTCAAAACTGGCTGGGTGGTGGAGTGGTTGAAGTCCACGAACAGCCTAATCGGTGAAGGCTCAGAGGTCCCGAGTTCAAGTCGATAAAAATCCCAGCATGTGCGCCAGAGACGTAGCCCCCGTTCGCCACCGGGGGGGTGAACTCTTTTGTCTTTTTAGATCTTCTACCTTAATTAATTATTGTGAATATTTTGGAGTCTGAAGCCACTAGAGCATCCAGCAGAAATTGGTCTTTAATTTTGGGGTTGTGAAATCATTCAAGGGAGAGAACGGATGGGCCAGGAATTGAGGGCTACCTGCCTTGCAGCGTGGGCTTTTAGATCCAGCAGGCGACGAAGTCGCGCCAACTTTCGCATTGTGTTTCGCATTGTGTTTGAAGTGGAACTTGCGCCAAGAAATTACAATACGAATCTTCTGTGAGCTCTTTCTCGTTTACCTTGACCTGGTGCATGTGTAAAGATGGAAGATAACGCCGTACTTTCCGCGATTCGCGTAACACATCGTGGTGTAATGTGCGGTCGCTCTCAGATATGCTCGGATTCTCTGATTCTCCAGCGTCCTCTCACGTGCTACTCTCGTCTTTTCAACTACCGAGTCCTAGTAGGTGCGCTGAAGTGATTGAGGTACATTGGCCTTCTTCTCCCAAGACGGAACGGGACCCATGATCCGTGTGGGCCCGGGCCCGGTCGGCCCCATCTTTCCGTCGCCGGTGGGGGCCACTCTCCCGTCCCGTATTCGGAGAGGTACTCATCCTGAGCGGACGAGAGGTGAAGATATCGGGCACCTGCCCAAGAAACCCATCCTGAACCGGTTCGTCCACAGTGACCCAGATGCTACATGTAGCTGCATTAGAGCCGTCTCCAATCCAAAGTAATCACTTCCAATAGAGCAAGAACAGTAACCCATCGCACTAGCGAATCCTCCCCTCCCCAAAAACCGTGCAGTGACCTCCCACCCAATCATTCCTCATCCAACACCAACACCTTCAAACATGCACGCGAATAAAAAAATCACGAGACACCACGCAAACCACCAATACCACGCAATCACCAAACAAGAAACACGTAAATTTGTCCATCCGCCTTCTAGAAAAGGCACGGGGGAAAAGGTGCCTGACTGACACCCCACCAACATGCCAAACGCGCTTTAGTCCAGTGACACACCCACCCCAATTCATCCATCCATCCTCTGGAACGCGAATCCCAGTGACTGCTCCCGCATACCAAGCGCAGGACAGAAACATCCAATCCACCACCACCACCTACCATCCATCCACCACTCTTTGGTTTTCCGCGTCACGACTCACCGTCAATCAAAATGTTCCAGGTGCTTCTCGCCCCCAAACTCAGTGACCACAATGACGAAGAAAGTGATAAAGGCACAAACGTGGCCGGTCGAAATTTACAACGCCTTGTTTCCTTGTCTCATTGACGTTGACACTTCAATGTTCAACCACCCATTGTTCAACTAAGCATTCCATCATTCTCTTCTAACCTTACACATACTTCCTAAACACCGAATAGCCTCAAGGCGCAATTCCTGTTCATTTCTTACCAGACTTATATCAAAAAGAGAGCCGGTCTCACTCACCTCAAACCCCCATCCAGCTAATATCCCATCCGCCTTCTAAACCCAGTACATCCAGGAACAACGAAACTCACGATGCATCCCCTCTCCCATCTCATCCTCTCCCTCATCCTCCTCGCAACCTCAACAGCAGCCCTCCCAGCAACACCAGCAACACCCACAACCCCACCACCAACATCAACATCCTCAACAGACACACAACAACCTCCAATCCAGCCCTTCCTCCCCACCACCGGCGCGGCCCTCCTCCCAACAGGCATCCCCGCCTCTCCACGCCCGAGCCCGAACCAGCCTCAATCACAATCACCAGCACCATCACCAATCTACACAACCCTCACCCCCAAATTCCCCCCCTCAAACTCGTCCTCCCCCTTCCCATCAGGGCACCGCAACTCCACATCGCCCTGCGCATCAGGCCGACCCCTCCGCCTAGGCCCAGCCCGCCTCCACAAGAAACCTCACACCCAAACCTCCTTACCATCGCCCCCTCCGCAGCCAACAAACACTCCTCAAACCACAATTCCCGCCGAAGCTACCGCAGCCGCAGCCGTCGCCGCCGCCGCAGCAGCAGTAGAAACGCCCACAGACTCCGGCCCCCGAGACTACGCCTCCCTCATCCCCCCGGCGCCCGGCGTGACCCCCCGTCCGGAGCCGAACCTCGCCGAAATGGGATACTACCAGACGACGTACTACTCCTGCGCGACCCAAGGCACCTCGACCCACTGCGGCTGGCACAGACCCATCATGGTCGCGCCCGCGAACAACGCCGCCGCCGGCGCCGGCGCGATGAACCGCAAAGCCGGCGTCGGGGCGTTGGTCGTCGCCTTCGTCGTCGGTGTCTTCGTGGGCAGATGAGTCGACCCAATGGCGGCGGAAGACGTAACTCACCTGACGAATCATTCTCTTTCTTACCTAGCGAGACCTTGACCTATACGCTGAAGCCGGCCGGCTGTCGGCCGGGTCCTCGGGGTGCTGGTAGCGTCCTGTCCCACCCCCTGAACTTCCTCGGAGAAAATCCGACTAGCGCGCCTCACGGGGGGCTAAGACTTGCACGATACAAGCGGCAGGAACCGTGGCTGAGGCGCCAGACAGATGTCGGGCGGAGATGCCAACGATGGTAATAGCCTCGTGCGGCTGGACACAATGTCAAAGCGGGTGGGGGAGGAGATGAGGGAGCGAAAAAGCTTAGCCTCCCTCCCTTGGGCCCCCTGACGAATGATGATAATGAATGACGAATAAGACCGATTCGCCCAGCTGGCTGGGCTAGTATGAACCGCATAGACAGTCCACATGCCTCACGGTTATGGCACACAAATGCCGAGGGAGACCTACTTCACGGGAAGGATGAAATGGACGAGGATGGGAACCGCAGACGGGCATTTTTGGACAGTTTCTTGTACATCATTTGAATACAGCTTATGAAGATAAGAGAACACAAAAATAAAAAATAAAAAGGGAAGAGAGAAAGAACACTCACTACCTGCCTTTTAGGCCCCGCCCCCCAAAAAAAAATCCCTACGTTCTTTTCTTTCACCTTCTAAAGCTCGGGTATTTCAGAACAACATTGGAACAGAGAAACCAGAGAAACGAAAATGTTGGAAGGGGGGGCGACAGAAGAGTATAAGCCAGCAGCCCGAGGGGAAGAGAGAAAAACGTATGATGATATGTTGGAAAAGCCGCCCCTTTCTCCCTCCTTTTTGGCTCTTCCTCCTATTCCCCCCTTTCTCTCCGCCTCTTTCTCCATATCAGCGTAGTTAAAAAACGTTACATCAAGAGGTTTGGTTTAGTAAAAGAAGTAGAACAAGAAAAGGTCTCGGCGTGGTTAGCGGAATTCCCTTGCTGCCGAAAAATGGATTATGAGGGATGAGTCGCTCTGTTTTTCGAAGTAGGTCCCTGGCAGCGCGTCCTTGCAATGAGATCTTTTCCTGTATCCATTACCCGGGCCGCGGTGGGTGCTTGGACGTTTGTTGGGGATCTAGAACGTCCCCCTCCCCCCGTCGAACTCGGTTCGGGATCGCTGAGTGCCTCGGTACGCGTTCTTTCGATGGGAACACGGATCGGGGAAGGCGAGGGAGGGTAGACAGGCGGTGGGCTTGGAGTTATCGGTGAGTCGGTGAATCGTGAAAGAGTCGGATTGGTGTTCGAGAGAGGCATTCGCCGGTCGTCTCGTCATCTACTTCTTGGCCGGGGCAGGCGGTGCCTTGACGTTGTTGGACAGCCAGGCCAGGCCCTCGAGCAGGCCCTCGCCCGTCGTCGCGCAACTGGGCACAACGTACCAGACCTTGTCTTTCAGTTTTGAGAGGTTCAGGGCCTCGGTGACTTCTTGCGGCTTCATGGCTGTGATTGCAGTGACGCATGGTCAGCCTTCCAAACGTGTCCTGATGAAGAGGGCCAGCGGGGCAGAACCCGAGCCGATGGGCAGTACGGCCACCCGCTGGATTCGAGGGTGCGGTTTGTTTAGACTTACCTCCGTTGACGTCCTGCTTGTTGGCAAAGACCAGCAGCAAGCTGTCCTTCATTTCGCGGTCGTTGATGATTCTGTGCAATTCCGACTTGGCCTCCTCGATTCTCGCGCGATCCGACGAGTCAATGACGAAAATAAGACCCTGAGTTCCTGTGCGAGGGTAATGGTATCGTCAGCACAACTGAATCACATAAAGAACAGACTACCCTTGGAGGGTGGAGGGGCATGATAGAGGAGAGGAGAAGACAGGGCGGGAAGAACTCACCGCTAAAGTAATGTCTCCAGAGGGGACGGATCTTGTCCTGACCACCGACGTCCCAGACGTTGAACTTGACGTTCTTGTAGGTGACGGTCTCGACGTTGAAGCCGACGGTGGGAATGGTGGTGACGTCCTGGCCGAGCTTGAGCTTGTAGAGGATGGTGGTCTTGCCAGCGGCGTCGAGACCCAGCATCAGCAGGCGCATCTCCTTTGATCCGAAGATCTTGCCCATCATCTTTGAGAGTTGACCACCCATTGTGACTGCCGGGGGATCGTTATCGTGGGTTTCGTGGCGGTAGGGGTCGAGTCGGTCGGTCGGCGTTGTTGTTGTCGTGGGTGGGAGGGGTGGCCACCGGTGGTGCGGTGTCGGGCTTTAAGGGGACGTCGTCGCAACGTATGATAGATCGTTGACTCTGGATTTCTTCGCCTCCAAAACTTGGGGGACGACGGGCGAGATTGACGGTTCGGAGAGTGTCGCGCGCGATTGAATCCCAAGACGCAGCGGTCGTCGGGGTGGTGGGAGAAGGTTCCGGGGTTGAGCGAAGCAGAGTTGCGGAAGAGAAGGAGTGTGTGGTGAATGGCAGAAGCTATCACAAAAAAAAAAAAAACACGAGCAACTTTGCGACTTGCTGGAGTAAGGTACTTTGGGCAGTGGTGGTAATAGTTGTTGGTGCAGGCGCTGTGCGGTGTACCTGACTACCTGGTCGGGGATCGGAGGTTGGGGGTCGAATGGAGTTGGGCACTTTCCACTTTCCACTTTGTAGCGACCGGGCAGCCTTTCGTTCGCTCGGGCGTTGCGTGGGACGTTGGAGTACACCACACCGTACAGGAACCGAGACGTGTGTGTGTGTGTGAACACTGAAGGATGGCTGGGAGACAGATGCAGAAGCAGGGAGGGAGCAACGACGCCAAGACGGTATCGAAACGGGCCAATGGACAGCTATATTTGGGCTGTGATTAATGCTAGCCGTCATCCGAAACGAAGTGAGTGCGCTCACTCATGTAAGGAAACGTACAGAGTAAGGTCAGGTAGGTACCTTCATGTCAGATACTTTAGTACAGATACTTTAAACCATCCGTGCTTCATGGGTACGGGAATACCTGCAACCTGCCATGCTACAGAATATTGGCTGCTGACTCCAGATATGAGGCATGAGCGTACGTACAGCCTGTCTCCTTTCCGAATTATCTGACAGAAACCAGCGAAGAGCCGTCTTTGGCTATTGTCTGAAATCCCTACGACATGGGCAATGGCAATGGGCATATGCGGCTCGGCTTCTCATGCGTTTCAACCGTTTGCCCACCAGCTGGTTGGTAGTGACTGGTCAGGCGGGCAGAACCACAGACCGAACCACAGACCATCAAACACTTCTCACCTCATCGTCTACTATGGAACCATCCCACTCACCATGGGTGGTTACATCAGCAATTCAACACTTGAAAGTTGCCTCGGGTTCGTAACTTGAACGCTCTCTGAAGCGAAGCGGGGGACTCAGTGGAAGCGAGAGGGGCCGCATCTGTACGAAGTAATCCGTATGGATGTATGGATATTCGCAATCACGTTTAGATGGAAATATTGAATCTCGAGCAATGCAGCGCTCGCTCCGGGGCGCATGCAAATTGCACATGACATGACAACTCCGTCCAGCAACTCTCTCAACCGTAATCCACATCAGTCATCGTCAACAATAACAAACGCAGACTCCATCACTCCATACCTTTTCCAAAGCTTTTTATTGTGGAACATGATGGCCTCTGTCTCTTTCCCTCTCTTCCTCTCTCTGTCTCTCTTTGAGTCTCTGCGTCTCCCTCCATGGATATTGCCCCCTGGTCTATCCATCTTTGGCAAGGTACGAATAAAAAAGTACACCAATTCTCGGAGATTCAAACGCAGGTACGTACCCGCTCCCGCTCCCACACCAGAACATCTCCAGTCCAAACGGAGACATGCAAGCCGCCCCGGAGCCAATCAGCCTGCTCGTGTACCTTTTTTCGAGGTGGATCCCAAACAGCAAGGGCCCCAAGGAGTCTTCTTTTCCCCCCCTGTGTCCTTCAGGTTGCCTCTCTCTCCTCTCTTTCCTTGTCATCTCTGATTGTTCGACTTGCGATCTGGTGTTTTCTCTTCAACTCGGGTCAATCCGTAGCCCCATTCGTTCCTTTTCCTAACAACAAAATGGGATACCTTTCTATCTCTCCCGTCAATGACATGATGAGACTACATACCTCCATACCCCAAGCCCCTTGTTACCATGGCTGTTGCTCTAGCCAATAGGCGTATTTAGCGACCTGCAGGTACGGATACATACTGTGGTACACCACCACCTCACTCCATATCTGCCATGGCCAAGTCACGGCATTCGAATAAAATATCTATGCACGTGCCATGCCGGAGTCAGGGGCGAAATTTGACATTCTGAAGCCAACCTCTGAAGGCTCTGATAGTTTGATTGCAGCGTCTCCTTGCCTCGCATATCGGTGCATGTAAACATCCGAGTCGCATATCACGAGTGACAGACTCAAAAGCCACCAAACAAGAGATGACTCGTCTGTATCTTACGTAATACACTCGGCACAGCGCAGAGACTCAAAGCATGCAAACGTTCATAGTCATTTCTATCCGTACTACTAATACTGCCAGCCTGTCACTGGTACGGATACCCGCTAGCTGCTACCCCTGCTTTGGATGCATAGTAAGCATGTTAAGTTCCGTTTCGACCCGCCATGTCATGTCCCCTTTTGTTTGTTTAATGAGACCTGGCGATAGACACACCAGATATCCCATGTCCGGGCCGTTGATCTCTCGGCCAATACACACACTCTCAACTCAATACTTTAAGCGAACGCCCGCTCATGGCTCTCGCTAACACTTCGCTAACACTTCGCTAACGTCATGCACTTCCCAACTTGAGCGTTTGGCCCTCTACTTCTCCGCATCACCAGATCTGGATCATCTGGTACATCTACATCTCGGGGACCTTGTCCTCTTGGGTTCAGGGCCGGTACTCCAGCACGTAGCGCCGCTCCACCTGATGCGTAGTCGATGAGTCGTTTTCGCCATGAAACTTGAGGTTGACCGTCTTGCCGTCCGGCTCCGTGCCGACAACGTCTGCTGCGTAAAATGCCGTTGTCTGTGGGTAGAGCCCGAGGACCATCCTGCCCCCCTCCAGCTTAGCGAGATTGTGTGTCTGGTTCTCCGCCGGGATCGGTATCATGCCCGACGCAAAGGTCTTGTACTCCTTCGGCTTGACGTTGTCCTCCGGCTCCACATCCAAGCACTTGTACCGCCGGCTCTTGCCTTCGCCAATGACGCCGACCACCTCACCTAGTATCCAATCATACGGTGCCTCACCCTGCTGCGGCTCATCTTTCTTCCGTTTGAACGCTACCTTGTCTCCTTTGGAGAACGATATCTTGCTTCGAGCGGCAGAGGAAGCGCTTGACCCCAAGGCGCCTGACGATGAACCTGCCGTGTTGGAGCCCGTGGAACCCTGTGGCTCGACGCTATCTGCCTTGGGAGGCATACTGTCGCGGTTGCTACCCCGGTCGCCGTACTTGCGCGAGCTTCCGCCGATGGGGCTAGGCACCGGAGAGTCACCGGCTCCGTCAAAGTCGTAGAGTGCTGCCGCGGCAGCGTCCCGATTGCGGGTCGAGCTCCCGGTCCGTGATGAAGCGCCGGTTGTCGCTGGAGCCTCTGCTGCTTCCTTGGCCTGCTGCACAGCCTTGAGAATTTTAAGCTGTTCAATGAGGTTCTTGATGTTGTTCGAGTTGTTCTCCGACAGCTTGACACCAGAACGGCAGTTCTGCTCCATCTTGTTAAGATCGCTGCCTGATGGGTTTCCACCGTCCATGCTGGCCATGGCTGCCTTCTTGTCAAGCTTCAATAGCTCGGCCAAGTTGTCATTTTCTTGGTTGACACCGTTCACAACCTCGTGGAACTTTTCCTTCGCAGATTCCCATAGCTGCACCTCTTCGCCATGGCCGCTGCCATTGTTGCGGTTTGAGCCGCGGCCGCTTCGGTTTCGCTGAGACATCTTGGCTTGCAATGATTCCAAAGGGCTGGGCTGGACCTTGGGCGAGTCGCGCTTCTTCTAGGTGGACTCGTCTCGGGCAGCCGAGGCAGAAGATGTGCTCGTAGGTATGCTCGAGGATGTGCTCCCGGGATTCGGTTCGGCAGCGGTAGGTTTCCGTCTCCGACCACTGCGAGGCGGGTGCTCAGCTTCGGCGTTTCGTTTCTGTGGCATGTTGATATCAGTTCCGGATCGAGCTGACGATGGAGATGCATAAGTGGGGTGTAGAGATGATAAGGTGGAAGAGGAAGAGTATAGAAATGCGGGAGGAGGAAGTCGAGACAAGTAGGTGGAGGCAAGGTAGCTAAGCGCAAGCAGGGAAGGCGAGCATGAAGGCACTTACAGGGAAAGCGTAACGTTCACTTGGCTGTTGCTCCGCCAGCTGTCGCAGGCAGGTCGGGGGTCACGTTCAGTTCCAAAGCTCGGTAGAGCTTGCCTTGAGCTCTTTCTCTCTGGTGTTGCTGGGGTATCTAGGCGCAAAGACGCTATGTAAGGAAACAAGAAAAGAAATCGACCAAGAAACCTTAGCCCATGACGCGACCAAAAAGAAAAAAGGCAATGATTTAAGCTTTTGAATTGGCCAGGTCTCTGAATGCCATGGCAATCAAGGTGTTTGGAGTTGGGGGAAGGATCATGGAGATGCTGATGGCAGAATGCGGGCGGTATCGGGTGACGCGCAGGAAAGCGGAGTGCTGAGAGCTTCATTGGTTCATTAACGCGACTGCTCCAATGTGCCGCTGCGATCCGCCGCGGCATTGTATACAACCGAAGTGGGTCAATCGATAAGATACCTCGTACTTTTGGCCAGCCATAGCCAATCAAGTCGGGGATTCCTCAAACGGCCCTCCGCCATGCGGCCCGACCACTTGCCCGGGGCCCGTGCTCCGACCTCACGGGATGATCGTTTGGAGGGGTCCGGAGGTATTGGCTCCATTCTGCGGGGTCCCCCCAAGTGAAGCTCTCCCTGACGTCAAATCTAATGGTGGGGTGAGCATACGCACTCCCAACTTTATTAGTACGCCATTGTCGTCGCGTCTTTCCTCTCCCTTGAAACCTTTGTTCATCGCCTTCTTTCAATTGCTTTGAGCTGATTTGGCTCCATCACTTCAGTCGCAATGGTCCTACAGGTCCCTCTGTTCAAGCTTCAATGCGGAGTGAACTCCTATGAATGGGGAAAGAAGGGAGGGGACTCAGCAGCTGCGCGCTTTGCGGCGACAACGCCAGCTGAGGGCTTCAGCATTGAATCGGAGAAGCCTTACGCAGAGGTGAGCTCAACCTTGTTTCTGTATTAAGCCCCAGAATCACATTGCTAACTGGTATTTGCAGCTCTGGATGGGCACCCACCCCTCAAACCCCTCAAAAGACCTGCAGTCTGGTCGCACCCTTCTCGAACTCGTCCAAGACAACCAGCAACTTCTCTCCGCACCTATCTCCTCCAAGTACGACTCGAAGCTTCCTTTCCTCTTCAAGGTCCTCTCCATCAACAAGGCCCTCTCGATACAGGCCCACCCCAATAAGAAGCTTGCCGAACAGCTGCACGCTCGCGACCCCAAGAACTACCCCGATGACAACCACAAACCCGAGATGGCTATCGCCATCACCCCATTCGAGGGTCTCTGTGGATTCCGACCCCTTTCCGAGATCTCACACTTCCTCGCGACGGTTCCTCCCTTGAAGAGCCTGGTCGTCGAAGACAAGGCCGACGAATTCATCAATACAGTCAAGGGTGAGGAGGAGACCGAGAACCCCGAGACTAGGGACCGGAATAAGATGGCCCTGCAGCATGCCTTTGCCGCCCTTCTGTCCGCCACACCCGAAGAGATTGAGAAGCAGACGGAGAAGCTTGTCGCCCTCGCCAAGTCAGAAGGCAGCGATTTTGCCGGCGGCGGCGTTGCCACGACAGACGGCGAGACCCTCTCGGAGCTGATCCTCCGTAATCACGCCGAATTCGGCGCAGACATTGGGCTCTTCGTCCTCTTCTTCCTAAACTACGTCAAGATGGAGCCCGGCGAGGCCATGTTCCTTGTCGCCGACGACATCCACGCGTACCTCTCGGGCGACATTATCGAATGCATGGCCGCCTCAGACAACGTCGTCCGCGCCGGCTTCACCCCCAAGTTCAAGGATGTGCCCACCCTCGTCGACATGCTCACCTACAACTACGCGCCTATTGACGAGCAAAAGATGTCTCCATCCGAGTACCCCTACGCCACCCTCAACCGCGCCGCCTACAGCTCTGGCTCTGCCGTCATCTTGTACGATCCGCCGATTGAGGAATTCAGCGTCGTCCGGTCGCTGCTCAATGGCGACGGGGCCAAGGTCACCTTTGAGCCCATTGAGGGTCCCAGCATCATCATCTGTACTTCTGGCAAGGGCACCATTTCCGTTGGCCCGACAGTGCAGAAGATTAGCGAGGGTAACGTCTTCTTTGTCGGATCGACGGCGGAGTTGGTGTTGCAGTCCGAGGGTGACGACGATGACGAGTTTGTCACGTTCAAGGCGTTTTGCGAGATTGAGGAGAAGCCGGAGGAAAAGTTGTAAAAGGGGATTTTTTGCAGAGGTGCCAGCGCACACACTATCCATGTTTCCCTCCGTGTTTGAGACGAGGGGGGAGCAAGTTGTTCATACCCAATATCCATACAAGAAGACCACGAAGAAAAGCATCATGAGAGAGGTTATTTGATTTTTGCTCGATTCCTGCCCATCGTGTAAGGCGTTAGTCCGATCCTAACAGGGGCCTTGTCTCTGACGCCAGTATGGATGAATGCTTCTTGACCTCAATGACTCTTCTCTATCTCCGATTAGACAGCCCATGCCACAGGAGCCTCGGTATATCGCACTGAGAACAATCACGCGCTGGACATGGGGGGCTCACGAGCAGGGCATACGAATTATTTTTTCAGCGTGATTAACCTGGCGATTTTTTGAGGGACCGCACCGTTTTTGGTGATTTGATTAATTATACTCACCCCATGCCTAAGCTGCACCTGTAATACGGCTTGCTGTGGCTGGGAACTAGAAAAGGGAAGTCAAGAGTAACAGAAAAAGAATTCAGCCAGCCCAATGCCCCATGATGCCTGCAGGCAACATGATAAGACCAAACAATGCCCCCCTGATAAACCTCAATTTTTTTATGAAGTACCATGCCCCAAAGCTCCCTGACCCCATACCCCTTAGCCCCTCTTGTCCAGGTATCAATGTCCACTAATTCATACTGCCATTCTTTTTTGTATCGCCGTTTCCATGAGGTTCCTGTCACGAGACACCTTCCCCGGAGATCTTGTAAACGTCCATCCGTTCCGTCACCCGAATGCTTTCCCCCAACATTCAGTTATTACACCGTTTCAGTCAAACCGTAGCAGATGAGCGAGAAAACACAGGACATCAAAGGAAGATATGCAGACTGGTACACGATTACCTAACGTAGACCACGCACGTGCGATGAGGTACAAAGATCATGAAAATTGAAGAAGTGACTAGGGGGGAAAGGTAATGAATGATGGATGTGTAAAAGTAGAGAGAGAGAGAGAGAGAGGATGATGACATGCGTGTAGGCGTGAATTGCAGGATCAATAACCAAAAACATAGACACAACCCAACGAGACCACAGACTTTGCTCTCCTATCGGAACCCAAATCCCTCGACAGTGACCCTAGCCGGCCGGACACGAGGCTGGGTACTATTGAAGGAGAGACGAGCGAGAAGAAGTTAACTAATGCTCTCTGGGAACACGAAAGGGGGGGGGGGGGGGGGGGGGGGGGGGGGGGGGGGGGGGGGGGAAGGGGGGGGGGGGGGGAAATGTGACTGGGGGGGGGAGGGGGGGGGGGTGGGGGGGGGGGAGAGGAGGTGGGGGGGGGGGGGGGGGGGGGGGGGGGGGGGGGGGGGGGGGGGGGGGGGGTTGTGAAGAGGGGAGGGGGCTCATAACTCCGGTCGAGAGGTATTGGTCCAATATTGGGGAAATCTGACTTGGAACCTGCGAGGCGGGAAATGGAGGGAGGAAACGGGACGGGACTGGACGGGTGTCAGGGGCGGGCGTCCCGGGTTCGGGCAGCCGCATCATGCCGCCGGGATCTCGAGGTGAGATCCTATTCGGCTTCCTGCCTCCCCCCTCTCGTTCTCGATGACAGCCACCACGCCACACCGAAAGACACGAACGGAGTGTGTTCTGAGATGTCATTGATGGACGCAAGGCCACATTGGGTAGTATTTTCCAACGGCTTCATTCTTGGGCCTCCCATTGCCTGCAGAGATGGAACCTTTCTCGGTTCTCTTGGCCTCCGGTAACGGTATGTACGTTGGCGGCGTAGACGTTGTCGTTGTCGTTGGGTACCGTCGATGATAAAGCCAAGCAAGGCTGGGCCACACGCATGCAGCGGACCACACCCTCTCCACCGGGGAAGAAAGGAACCCCCAAATCCGGTGCCTGGACTTCGTACAAAAGGGCAAGCCACGTCTCGCTTCCTGCTGGAGAAGAATAGAGGGTGGGCGATGTACCGCCCCTGCCTGAAAACGAAAGCTTCTCCCCTGCAATGGCGTCTTGTGTTTCGACGACGTACGAGAGGGGGAACAAGGCTGTGGCGTACTCTGCTTCGACAGTATACGGCCAGGAGGCGGTTTTGTTTCCTCAACGACAACCTGCACTTCCCATTCATCATTGGAGTATGCATGCCGGTATGTTTCGTGTTGATGAAAAGGCGTGCAGGAACCCAGGAAGTCGAAAGTCCGCCACGGCTTACGCTGCAGGTTCTCTCACACCCCAGAATAGCATCTAGGAATATGAATGCCGGATCTGGGGAACTCGGTGACGTACGTTTCTTCACCTTTCATACCCTGGGCTCGTATTCCGCTTTCACCGAGCTGGGATCCCCTCTCTCACTGGTTAGTGTCACGGGATGTGTCCTCATTTGGCGAGAATGAGCGCCGACAGCATCGCAGTTGTTCTTAGAATCGAAAAGTGCAATAAAAGGAGTGGGCGAATAAAACAAAAGTGATTGCGAAAAGAATGTGGCAGCAAGCAGTAATTGCCATGGCGGAAAAGGGGGCCCCCGATTCCTTTGCTGGCACCACCAATAAGTGAGCATCAAGCGCCCCAGCCGGCCGACCGGAGCGCAAGGTTTCATCCTAGGAAGCGGACAAGCCACCCGCAGACCTGCGACCCGAGTGGTGATGATGACTGCTGTGGTGGTGGCTATGACCGTGACCATGGTGATGATCGTGATGATGCTGGTGATGGTGCTGCTCGGCCGCGACCTCCTCGGAGAGCATGTACTGCCCGATATGATGCCGTCCATGGTGACCCACGGAGGCGTACATGCCCGGCGACGGCGTGGTGACTGTATACTGCTGCCCGTTGGAGAGCGAGCCGCCTCCGCCCACAGGCGTGGTGGACGACGAAGAGGAAGTGGAACTCGTGGTCTCGCCGCTTCCGCGACGACCGCTGCCGTCCCTGCCTACCCCTGACGGTGCAGTGGAAGAGTCTGTGTACTTGTAGCTTAAGTCGGAATCAGACGCGGACCGGAGACTCGATTCCGAAGCACTGAAGATGGGCTCATTGCCGCCGCTCGTGGTCGTGGAGGGCGGGTATCCTGCCATCTCAGCGTTGGAGATACGCTGCTGCTGATGCGTCATAGACGGAACGGTGTGCGATGGCGGAGGGTACGCTGATACGGGCGACGTCTCGAAGCTTCCTGATCCGCTGGGGCCCGAAGTTGTGTAGCTTGTCGTCACGTCTGAGATTGGGGATGGCTGAGACGTCGGGCTACCTGAGGACTTTGTCGACGCCGATGCCGTTGAGGATGTAGCAGCAGCGGCGCCTTCTGTACGGTAGGCTAGGACGTTTGCGTTGGCGACGGGTTGGCGCGTAGCCGGGTCGGGTAGTCGACGGTCGCCACCGGCGGGGGGCAAAGAAGCGGCGACGCCGGTGAAGGAGAAATTCTGGCCCTCGCTCTGCTGCACCGCGGCTGCTGCTGCTGCTGCCGCTGCCACGTTTGTAGCGGGCCGGTGAGGAAGCTGGGTGACGGTGCCGGCGTTGCTGCCATAGGCGTATCCCGCCGCTGCTACGGCGTCCGCCGTGTTGACGTATAAGTCACCCGCGCTTGGTGCCGCTGCGGCGACCTTTGCGGTGGGGTTTACGCGGTAGTAATAGCTCGTGTCCGAGGGCTGCTGGTAAGAGTACGGGTATCCCATGGAGGCCACCGCGGCGGGGCTGTAGTCCACGGCGTCCTCTGAGTAGCCCGGCGTGGCAGACCAACTCGGCATAGTCGCGGGCGAGGCGTAGTATTTTCCGCCGTAGTAGCTGGCTGATGTTGATGAGTAGCGGGGAAGGCCGTCGTGGATGTCGGAAGTGTAGTGGTGAGGCGGGGACGAGTTCAGGGGTGAGGCCATGGCGGTGTGGGCGTATACTCTTGCGGCTTTGAGATCGTATGTGAATGTTTGATCTGTAGATACCCAGGGAGCTTCTGTTGAGGCGACCTTTGGAAATTCCGTGTTAGTCCAGGACTCCAAGGGGGCAGGCAGCATCGAGACCCCCATAGGCATTGTTCGACTTACTCGTAAGAACATGCAGGATTCGGCGCCGGCGGCCTTGCAGTTCTGGCATGGAAGTCCGTTGCCCGTATCTCCGCTGCAGCGAATCTTGCGCTTCCGGCAACGGCCACACTGTCAATCTTGTCAGATCTTTCTTTTTTCTCCTTTCCCCATCTTTGTTACATCAAACAACGGGTATGCAAGTTCCCCTAGTTTGTACGGCTTCCAGCGTTCAAGTTGAACCTTTCGAGGACTGGCTCGTTTTTGATATAGAAACATACGTGAAAGAGAAGAGACAAACAAGAGATGTAAAGCATATCCAAGCTAATGAGAAAGGAGTGGAATGACAAAGGAAAAGGAAAGGAACTTACAGCAACGGCAATACGCTTGCGGGGGGGTGTATCCGTGTCAGTCTCTCGCTCCGTCATATTAGATGTCCGCGCTTCAGAAGAATGCGAGTGATGTCGTTGCTGCCGTTCCGGGTAGACGTATGTCGGGTCGACGCGGCTATATCGTCTTCCGTCTGCGTAGTATGCTGGGCTGACCATCGTTGTTGTATTCGCACCAAATATTACTTCGTTCTCGGATGATCTTGCTCTAAAACAAGGCTTAAAGACGTAGCGAGAAGGTAAGGTAGTGTAATAGACGATGACGATGACGATTGGGGTGGTGGGCTTCGATCGTGTAGCAATGTCTGGTAGCGTGGGCAAGATTTGGCGCGCTTGTCACAGGAAGCGAGGGGCTGGACTGGGCTTTTCTTGTTTGTTTCTTGTTTCGGTGTGTGTGGTCAGTCTTTTCTTTGGAGAGATGTGGGATTGGAGGGATGCTGTGCTTCGCATTCGTCGATGAGGGGGACAATAAGCCTCTTTTTTCTCGATGCTGCTGATACTGATGCTGATGCTGTCGTGACCAGGCGTCAAAGTCCTTGTCTCGTTTCAGAAAAGGATGGGGGACGTCGTGCTTTGCTTTTCCCCTTCTTCAGCAAGTCTGATTTCATTCGAGACTAACTGGGATGGGACCTGGTTGATATGTGTAGGAGGCAGAGGTAGAGGCAGAAACAGAGAAAGAGAAAGAGGAGAAAGGAGGAAATAAGAGGTGAGTTGCTGGATGAGGGTAGATCTTGTTCTTGTTTTCTCCTCACGCCTCTTTGTGAGACGTTACTTTCTTGAAGAAAGAGGAAAGTGTTGAGACAAGTCCGCTGATGGAATGCCTCCCCCAGGTGTAGAGATCTGTCAGGGCGAAAAAAGGTTCGAGACTTATTCAGTGTTCCGCATGGAAGTCCGGAAAAAACAAAATAAGTCAATGAGAAGAGGCAATGACATGAGCCAGGCCAGCTTATGAGGGAAGATGGGGAGAAAAGATTGATAAAAACCCCCCGGATTAAAAAAGAAAAGATAAATAAAACAACACCGACGAGAAAACAGGCGTGAAGCAGCTGCAGCCAGCGAGTGTTATACGCATCCTGGTCTTGGAGAACGCATCTTTTGATTCGGCAACGCAGGAGAGATAGCTTGGTTGTTCCTGTGTTTGCACCATGCCTTCAAACGTATCCACACCCTCCGACTGTCTGTCCAGAATACATCCATCAGAGGCATTTTCCACATCTTGAATATTCTCTTTACACAGAGTTGATTTCCCATGGATATGAAAATCAGGTCATTTGTTCCATACACGCCCCCCTCTCACCTCTCTCTCCTTTTACATTGGCGCGTATACCTTTCCCCCCTCTTCTCGTTCCCCCCATGGAAGCTTGCGGACCACACAGACACGACATCTGTCATCGGACGGGCGAAGGAAGACAAGGCTGCTACAGCATGTTTTTTTTTTTTTGGGGTCCCTTGAACTAGACCGAAGCAACAGAGAAGCAGATGTAGTGTTGATTTACCTACATAAACAGATGAGAGTGAAAAAAAGAGACTCATGTGGTGCTGCAGTAGCACCGACGGCGCGGGAAGCCACAGAAAGACGTACATTAGAACGGGGGAGAAGGAGACCTCACTTCGGCTCTGGTAGTCAGTGACAAACAAGCATGGCCTACTGGGGTGGGTGGGGGGATGGATACACCCAGCGAGGTAGAGAGAAAGAGAGAGCGTCTACATACAATCAACACCCCTCCACTCCTGTCTCCAGTTCTTCTTCCATAACGCAGATTCGGGGGGGAGGTACTTTGGGGCTGGAGGGACGGAACGTGGAGAGCAAACGGAAGAGGGGCGGCGACGGCGGAGAGGTAGGAGGACGAGGGGCGGACAGGTTAATTGAGCAGGGGGGGCCCCCAGTCCTGCGTTGGAAGATCTTGTAGGGCCAGCCGGGAGGGAAAGTCGATCTCATCTTGGGTGTATCTTGGAACTCTTAATGAGGAGAAAAAAGGGTCTGGGGTTCTCGGGGGCTAGGCCAAGCTAGACCCGAAGGACCTCGTTCCATTTGCAGCACAGCTCATTGGCAACTTCAGAGAAGAGGAAATGACAGTGTGAGAAGAACGGTCTTAGACCTTTTGAGACTGCATCATCTTCTTCTCAGCCGTAAAGATGACTTGGAAACCCCTGCACATCCAATCAGACTGACGTTTGATATTCGTCTTGCCTTGGGGAAGCGAGACTGCTGTTCCTATGTTATCGCCACCATCGCGTAAGGAGAGTTCCCATCCTAGGCCTATTGCTGGGGATCGAGACAACAATTTTAGAGGTGATGGGAGGAGGCAGGTGTCCCAACCCCGTGAGAACACTCAATTCCTCAATGTACCCCCCACGCGCGCAATTTCCATTGCTGAAGAAAACTGCCGAGTTGTCGTATGGTAACCGAGACTTGTATAAACGCTCGGTGCAAGCGCGTCCAACGGAGAAGACAACATGTATTGGACGGATGATCCTCCCACGATGACGAGGTACATGTATCATGGGAACAACAGCCAGGCTGTTCGTTTCCCCACAACAACCACTCTATCTTCCAAAGATTCTAGACTTCACCAGTCGTCAACAGAAACAAAAGTGGGATACGGGAAAGGAGGAAGCACAGAAGCATAGAAGTAGCATCTGCTTTAGGCAAAAAGACTTCTGAAATGGGAATGGTATCTTTTCCAAAATGACACCGAAGAAACCGACACGACAAACACTTTTTTTTGGCTCGACCTTTCGTCGGGCAAAACGGCCATCTCGGTCCCACTTGGAGGGTTCAAACCATGGACGCTTGATCGTGTGACCCTACCACGATAACTAACGGATGGAAAAGAGCAGAGCCATCACCAGCGAGAGATTGGGTTGTATCAGGGCAAGTCACACTTTTCCCCCGGTTCATGTACAAAAGTGATAGGAAGAGAGCGAGAGACACAAAATGCACAAAGCTGAAGGTTACGTGACGCAAGCCATTGACAGTGAATACGCTTGTGGTGGGTGTCGCTGTCCCCTGTGTCACACAGCGGAAGCGGCCTTTGCTGCAACACACACACACACACACACACACACACACACACAGTTCAGTATGATAGAACCGAGAAAGCCAAATACAGAAAGGACAGAGAACTGGCCGAAGATCTCTCCAGCCAGAAACCAACAGCGACGTCAACCCCCAGCACAAACCATCAAGCAGTACTGGACCTACTGGGCTGCTACCACTTGGCGCCCGGTCAAAGTGTGACACCGCCAACTCGCTGAAGAAGAAGAAGAAAAAATATTCAAGGAGAGGGGGGCCAAGAAAGACTCAAAGGCCGAACCGAAAGCAAGACGAAGAGAGAAAAAAAGCAAGAAAAGCAGGAAAATCAACGGTGTTGCTGCTGCATGCTTCATGCTGCATGGTACGTGCATCGGTTTCGTTCGCCAAACATCTCCCTGGCCGGTCGAGATAGAGAATCCTGTAAGAAATGAGCATCTTGGAGAAATGGACTCATGGGGGGCCAATGCTGCAAAGCCCGTCATCTGCATACATCATTTACAAGCAACAAACTTGAGCCATGATTTGCCAGCCCGGTGCCGGGAGGTTCCGCGAAGAATTTCTATCAGGCAAACCGAGCCCTCAGCCGGCGAAGAGATACGGCCGGAGGAGGATTCACAAGAGATGCCCCCTCCAAAATAGCTGGCGGCGGTCACGGTGTTTGCCTTGCTTCCACTGCAAAGTACTCTTACATGGGCAAACGAGATGCATGAATATGGCCGCCAAAGACGGCCGCCCAAGGTTGCCTCGACAGGCCCAGGAGGGGCGAAGGGGGCGCACACCTGGCTCCGAATTGGGATGGGGGAGCTGCCAAACAAGACCATCTGTTGCTGTTGCGCCGTTGTACGGAGTAGCTCTGGAAATTTCTTGAGCCAGCCTCGGTGTGCAGCAGCAGCAGTCTCCCCTTCCCCAAGCCTCGCACTCTTCCTTGTGGCAGATGAGGTGCCTTCCTACACGTTTCTCGGCCCCTCGCCCTCGCTTGTGCTGCAACCTGATCGTCCGCGACTTGGCGACCGGGATTTGGCTGCCCCCCTCTCGCCCTCCCCCTCCACAACGTTGCAGTTCCGGCCGCGGCCGCGCCTCTGCTTTTGGATAAAGATAGCGGGAAGAGCTTCGATACACGGCACGCGAAGGGGGGGGGGGGGTTGGAGGAAAACAAGGAAGGGACAGAAATAGCAAACGGGCCGCTGAGGCACAGAGCGATGGTGGGATGTGCGCGTGTATGCGTAGTAATGTGTCGGTGTGTGTGGTTCTCTTTCCCTTCCGCACCTGCTTTGCCGTTGTTGCTTCGCCCGTGGGCGGCCAGCTGGTGATGCATGCCCGTTGGCGTGAATCCTGTACGAATAGCTAGGCATGTGTGCCATGCCTTTGCCTTCTCTTGACGTGATGCACTCTCCTCCGCCTGCTTGCCGCGAAAGGCCCCCGCATCAGAGGACGGTCGGTCCCTCACCGTTGACGGTATTGGTGATGAGGGTTTGAGGAAGGAAGAAGGCTGCAATACTACGTCGTCCGATATCCCCGTGCATTTGAATCAGGGGTAGATGTCCAGCTGCAGGAGTTTAAGTAACTAAAACTCGCCCAGCGTGGCGTCGTCGTTCCCAATGGCGCTTTAGCAACTAGGAGAAAAGGATTCTGTCATGGATGCTAAGCCCATGCTTGAAGCCGACGGATCCTATTCTCCATCGTGATCCTAACGTCCGTAATGATGCGTTTCTCAGGGATGATTTTCGATCCGTGTAAGAAGCTTCTTTTTCTTCTTGCCGTTGATTTTTGACATGCTGGTGGGACTGGAATCGTGAAGCACATATTTGTCGCCGCTGCAAAGTCTTGTCCTGCCATCATCTCACGGCGTGCAAGGTCAACGAGGTGCAAAGTCTCAAGATCCAGGCAGTACTTGTGTTTCCGCATGAGCTTATTGCCAGAGAAACCCTCACAGTGTTTGAGACATGTCCTCGCCTCGTTGATGATGGTCTGGAAGCGCGCAGGCCTCTGGATCACTCTCGTCTGGCTCTCATAGAAAAGCCTACGCCGCAATTCCAAGACAAGAGAAACGAGCTGCCCTCGCTGAAACTCTAGGAGAGCAGTTCGTATCGAGAGTCGACTGAGATGTTGTTGGCAGCGTAGCACAGCGTCAAGACTGATATCATATGCAGCAACAAAAGCCTCGCCCAACAAGGTGAGGCCGTCATGCCGGCGATCAGGCTGTCGTGATGCAGATCCTCTCTTCACCTTTCACCTGTTACCGGGCATTTCTTGTGCGTGCCTGCTTCTGGGACGGGAGGCAGCAAGCAGAACGCACATGGCTCGACGGCTTCGCTGACAACGGAAATTTTTTGCAGCCATCTTCGGGGCGCTGCATCTGTACTTTTGGGGGAGCTGCCAGTCATAGCCAGAACCAGTTTTTCTTTTTCCCTCTCCCATCCATATGCGGGCAGCCGTTTGCAACAGGGACACAGGACGTAAGCGATTGGACCGGCTTCTAGGGACACAATATCATCTGACAGCCCATACTAGGGGGCCGGCCACGTCCGGAGCAGATTGATTGAGGTCGTCAGCGATGGAGAGCAGCCACCATGGCCAGGCACTGAAGGAGGCGAAGGAGGCGCAGGAGAACGAGACGAGACGAGACGAGCCGAGCCGGGCTGCCTCCACAATTAACACATTGGCGATGGAGAATATCAGATCCGTTGGTTTGGGCCCTTTCCAGTTTGTCCAAGTGCCCTTTCTCGACGTACTGTGCTAACAAAGTTGCCGTTCCGTGGTTTGGCTGCAACGAGATTCTGCATTGGGAAGACAATCGGCCTCCTCCGCCTCAACCTCAGCATCATCGACCGGCCCATTGAGCCCCACGGAGTAGCACAACTGACGAGCTTTGATATTCATGTCTCGCTCGCACTGAGGCGAAGAGAGACGCGGTCGCACAGGATTGGGGAGTTGATGCCTAGCGGGCCAGAACGGACAGAAATAACTGCAGCAGCTCTGCAGCGAGACTCGACGTGCTGTCACTCTCGTGATCCTGTGCGACATTAGCAACTGATGATACAGGACGCCTTGAAGGGGGGAACTTGCGAGGCCCTACACCAGGAGACCGCATCTATTAGACGCCGCGATGAGGTTGCAGGCGGCAGCGGCAACGAGAACGACGACGAAATGCGAACGATAAAGGAAATCGGTCAGGTTCGGAAGCAACTTTACGAATTACCGCGAACTTAAGTTCATCAGCTCTCGTCCCGAAGGCAACCTCGTTCTAGGATTCTAGATGGTCTTCTTCGTAGAGCTGAACTCTGAGGGATGCGAGGATGTGATCGGAGATTGTCCTGACAGGTCGAAGACGTTGTCGCACAATGCCGACCTCGCACGAGGCGGCTGCGGACTTCATTTGAGATGGCGGTCCATGGCCCATGGTGCGTCTCTCAATGCCGCTCCGTTGCAGCTTCTCCCATAGCACAGGAACCACCTTGAAGATATGACAACTGACAGATGACAGCTTCACCAAACGCAGCAGGCTGATGCAAGCTCCCCTCGGCAACACCAAGGATGTGTGTCGGTCCCCACTTCCGCGGTGCTTCCGGCCGCTTACTTACATGGCCCCTTGCGAGTGTGGAAAAGGAACAGGGCTCGATAGCCATGTTTGCAACGGCGAGAAACGATGAGACCAATCCTACTTGGGGCAAGCCGTTCGCCATGTGCGACATCAAGTTGTGTAGTCAAGCCCCACGGCCTTTGCTAGGGCAATCTCTCTCCCTTCCCTCGTTCCCCACATCCGGACTTCCCTGGTCGACGACGAGATGCGAAGGGGTGGCTTACAGGCAGGTTGCCGCGGTGCATCTCGACAGGTCAACGAGATATTGTTGTTGTTCATGAAACACGAGCCTTACGCGGGCGGCAGTGGCGATAGTGGTGTCAATTGTTTTTGTATTTCTTGGGGTCTACATCTGTGGCTGACCGGACTGCTGCAAAGTGCGGTCTGGTCAACGGCGGCTGGGTATAGTTTTGAAAGAGCATTGTCGGAGACGAGAAGAAAATGAGATGCGCGTCTTGCAGTTGCTGTTGCTGCTGCTGCTGCTGTTACTATCTTCGTCTGTCCGAGTCTCGATCCCTACCTCGATTCCGATTGTCCCAGTCTCTGCGGTCTCTGCGACCCGAATCCCTATCGTCACGTCGCCGTTCGTATTGATCGTGCCGTCGGCCGGAACCGCGATCATCGGATCGGTATCGATCTCCATCTCCTCTTCTGTCCCTATCCATGGCCCTTGAGCGTCCGGGGCTTCGACTGCGTCTCCGCACCTGTTCCGATCTGGGTCGATCTCTTTCCCGTTGATCTCTGTCTTGCTCAGGCTGCTGCTGCTTATCTGACTCGGGACGACGGTCTTTGGCGCGCTGGTGGCGACCCTTCATCTCCTCGTCTCCGTACACCAGATCGTAATCATCTCCATTTCGCTCGTATTCGTCACGGTATTGCCGCCTCTTTTCGAGCTCGTCAACACCTCCGAATCCACCCCTGGACGCGTGTTTTCTGCGCTTCTGGTTTGTATCGTCTCTCCAGACCTGTTGCAGCTTGCTCACACTCTGCGAGAAGTCCACGTGGATACGCCGGTCGTCAATCAGGACATCCTGCATCTTGGCATAGGCAGCCTCGCAGGACGCCTTGTCAGCATATTCGATAAAGGCATACTGGAGACTGTCGCCTGTCTTGGCATCACGAATGACCTCGCAACTCAGAATCTTGCCGAATCGGCCAAAGATGAGCTCCAGATCGGCGTCCGTCGTGACGGGGTTGAGCTTGCAGACGAATAGGACGTTTTCAGGGGGAGCGACCTCGGCAAACGGCAGGTCACCCATCATTTCCAGAGTGAGAGCCTGGGCCCGTGCCTCGCGGTCCCTCCGCCGCTTCTCGATCGCCTCCTCATCTAGATCATCGTCTTCGTGTAGCGCAGCCTCGTCCGCGATCCGAACAGTATCGAGTTGTGACTTGGTCGGAGGAGGCGAGGCGCTAGGCTCTCGCAGCTCGGGGGGATCGGGGTACGGGTCGTCGAGAACGATGGTGTGCTTGATTCGAATGTCGATAAGGGGGTGCCCCTTGTCGTCTACGATGGCCTCGTTGATCTTCTCCAACACGTCGAAGCCCTCCACGACCTTGCCAAAGACAGCGGCCTTGCCATCCAAGTAGTCCGTCTCATCGCCCAAGGTGATGATGAACTGAGAAGCCGCCACGCGCGTATCCGGGTCGGAATCCAGGGGCGCCGTCGCCATGCTGACGGTGCCTCGCTCGAGATGCTTCAATTTCGGGTGGAAGAAGGCCGGGAACATCTTCTTGGAGCTGTCGCCCGACAGCAGGCCCCAAATAGAGGTGCCTCCATCGGACTGTTTCGATAAGGGTCCAAGAGGATCGCCGGTCTGGAAGGAAAAGTTCTTCTGAACAGAGTGGACTGGTGAAAAGTTGTAATATTTGACTTTGCAAAGCTTCAGGAAGCTAGAGGTCTTTGGTTAGCTGAGCAAGAGCGTTGTAGCGCTGGCGGTGAATCGCGTCTTACTTTTCGCAAAGCTTGGGCGCGTAATCGACCAGCAGGTCAATCACGATATCGCCAGAGCTGGTTTCCAGAAGCACTGACATGGTGGCAGTAGGAGCCTCCTCTCGATCGCGTCGCCGTCGTTGTCGTCGTCGTCTGTCTAGCCGTAGGCAGGTTTGGTCTGAACGGAGCTTTCCAAAGTGGATTTTGCCCTGGGCGCAGCGGATTGACCAAACACAGAAAGATCGGTGAATTCGAATCGTCTCTCTTCGCCAAGAACAACAAGAGGTATCCCAAATGCGAAGCTTTCCGCTAGGCTCAGGCGGGCGGGCGTTCGGTGGTGGGGGTTGCAGCTTCGTGCGTGAGGTGCGTGTTGGCTTTTTTCCAGCTTGAAAAAAGATGTTTGCAGTCAAAGTGATGTAGGTGCGGTGCGGGCCAGTCCGCGAGGCAACGCCAACGGCAGCAGCTCTCTCGTCACATAGTGCGTGCGTCCAAACTATACTTCATTTGCACGGTAAAGAAGATCGGCGAATTAGAGGATGGCAGGGACAATGTCACAATGTTTAGAATCTTGTGCGGATTGCGTGCCCCGGTTTTCAGCAGTTTGAGAGCTTTTGGACCTTGGCCGATTGGGCGTACGAATAGGCTTTGTGGGAAAGTCTGATGTTTTTGGATTCGTCCATTCTCTTATTTCGGCACCGCAGCAGAGCAATGGTGATCATTTCCACATCATGGAGCTCCCAAAGGTAGGTGAGTTATAATACTAGACATGCACCTCCAACTCCGCATGCATCATGGTGATCTCCCGGGTCCCGTCATGCTCAGACCACTTCAACACCACCTCAGCACCACTAAGCTATGCATTCATCACGAGTCTAACCAGGCCGATTCAGACATGATATCAAATGTCAAGGATGGAGTGAAAGGTATGGTAAAAGTTGGTAATTGGTGTCGTTTCAGTCATTACAAACTCTATGGACCAGATGGCTGTTTGTGTGTGATATTCCTGCAACCACCGATGAAAGAAAAAGGAAACCAGAAGTGAAAAAAGGCAGATTGGCTGTGGTGTATTCCAACAAGCCTTCGCCAGTAAAACACCAAATATCCGACAGGCGAGATGAGAAGAGCATCTTCGCCTGTATGCAAACCCAGCTTTTCCCTCTCTGTGATGGGCAAAACGACCCATGTCGTGCCATAATCCATGTCATGCCTGTCCTCGGCAAAATGTTGAAATTCCCACACAAATCCCCTCTCAACGCCATTCGACGAGATGGTTAATCTCCTTGTCAAATCCAACGCCTCATGAAAAAGAAGAATCCGGTGCATAATTAGGTAGGTTGAAAAAGAGGTAGGACCAAAAAGGCTCAAAATATGCTGCGCTTTTTGTGTCGATCCGCAAAAAGATGAGAGCGTGAGATGCATCTGATTAGAAAGCTCATGGCGCGCTCTTGCGTCGTCTCTCAGAACGAAGTTCCTTTTCCGTGTCCATAAGACGGCACTGCACCCACATGCGAAACGAGCTGTCGCTCCGCACCTGCTCGCAGTTGAGGAGCTCCATCAGAGCCCGCTTCATGCCCTCGTTGACGTCAAAGAGGCGCTGCTCTTCCTCGGCGACCGCCCAGATGGTGGTCTCGTCCGCGATGGGCGCGAGTGAGCTGCTGCGGCGGGTCTTGGGGCTCGATAGCGACGAGCGACGGCTTCGGCTGTGGTGCCTCTTACCGCCGCCGCCGTTGGGGTACTGGCCAAAGGGCGAGCAGGTGCTACGCGTCGGGGACACGGACGGTGATGAGGAGAGCGAGGTGTTGGAGGTCGTCATGGGGCGGATCGTGTCCAGGTGCTGGCGGAGCTCCTCATGTTGAGATTGAAGAACTAGATATTGCTGGAGGGCAAAGTTGGAGGTTTCCTCCTGCGAGGATACAGTGGTTGCGGCGGCCATTTTTGATGTTGGTGGATATGGTAATGATAGTGTGCAAGTAATGTGTCTTTGGGCTATTGACGAGCCCATCGGAAATATGTGTGTTTGAGGGTGTGGATAAGACGAGTATATGGGCTTTTTGAAGAACCCAGGCGAAGACAATGTTCGGAAGTGATATCGAAAGGTGCTTGGTTAAGTGTGAGTGTGTGCGTGCCTTGATGAGTGATGCTCTCGTAGTGACGGAGGTGGATAAGTCGATCCGATGTCGTCAATGTGATGTGGCCGAGTGAACACCGCAACGGTTCTCAATAAGACTTATATAGAGTGCTGGCACTGTTGGTTTGTTTATGATTTTTCTTTTCGCCTTCGATAAGGAACAGAAAAAAGGCGTCGGTTCAGGTTGGCGTTATGGCTGAGAGACGGGAAGAGTAGTTGACTCGTGGTTTGGGGCCAAATCGTTCGAGTGTGAGTGAGCAGGTGTCGAGTACTAATACCAAATGAGGTACTTTGAGCCTTCTGCGACTCCTGGAGCTACTGCCCTGTCGATGGTGTCGATCAATGGTGGATCCGGCGTCCTTTGTCTCCTTTCAATCGAACCCCCGTTGGCGTGCGAGAAGAGGAGAAGGCGGGCGGGCGTGCGTTGGAGCTTGCGGGGGTCGCTGGTAAACGGTCTCGAAAAGCCCCCCTCAGCTGTCGGTAATAAATGTGAAAAAGAGGAGTAGATGCAGCAGGACAAGAGGGCGTGGCCGTTGTCGGGCAGATGTTTGGTCAGAGATTGAGGGCCTCTTCTGGGGAAATGTAGAGGGCAAGGGGGGAATGGAAGATCAAGTAATATGTATGTAAGGTGTGGTAAGGTGTGCTTGTTTTGTTTCTCTTGCGATAGGCGTGTGAGTGGACGGTGTGGTTTATTATGTGCCTCTCTCCTCCTTTTGCAGTTTGCGGTGTGCACGTCCGATGCAGACTCGATGCAGACAGATGCAGGATAACGCAGCCAGCTAGGTAGCTTCCCCGGCAGTCGAAGCTGATGATGGCCTTTTGGTCTTCTTGGTTGTATTTTATTAATAGGCACTTGTGGATGACCCGGAAGTGATAAGCGGAGTCGTGGGCGATGCGGAAAGAGGAGAACTCTGGAGACTCTCAGTAAGAATCGCGTTGTCGCCGGTCTCCGATCTCGTCTCTCTGTGTGTGGCCGTGTAATAAGGTATTCCAGGATATGGCAAGACTCAGGTACAGCAATCAAAGCTTGGACTCCCTCGTGGAAATGGCACGTCCAATGGCGCCAAATAAAACTGCAAGCCACACGGCGTTTAACCACCAGCCGGGATGTGGTTGACAATGTTCAGGTCCCGGTTCAGGTTGTGTATACAAGTCCCACTGCTAATATACGACGTACGGAGTACCCGCGTTGCAGAGAAAAACAGGGTAATAATGGGGGTGGGTAATGAACTCGGTAGTCAAGACCAAGATTCAGGAGTAAAAGAATAATTGGAAAAAAAAAAAATTAAGACAGAATATGTGTGCGCGAGCTTGGTTGCCAAGTGCGTAGGGGAGTGTAATGGCGCCGGCCGACAACCGAGAGGTGGTCTGGAAACCTTTTTGAGAACCCACGATGCCTTGGGTAGACCGGTTCAGGTTTGTCGCCGCAGAGTCAAAGCCCAACCAACTAAAAACTTTGCTAGCTTGAAAGTGGTTGGCGGTGTTTTTCGTCGTCCGTGACAGAGGGGATCCGGAAACTTTTTTTTTCCCCTCTCCTCTTGTTGGAGTTGGTAGTTATGCTTTTTGGGGAAGGGGAGGTGTAGGTAACCCCTGGACAGACAACTTTTGGGTTGTGTGTGAGTGTGTCTCGGTGATGTGTGCGTCTGTCTCTGCCTCTGATTTGTGCGTGATGATACTGATACCGATAATGAGGGGAGCCCGACTACCTAACAATGGCGGCCGATAGCGTAAGACGGGATGGGACGGGGGTATGGATGTCTGGGAAATGGGTGTGGAGGGAGATACTCTCCACAGCCCCTGGTCCAATTAATAGACCCGGTCCAGCCCGGATGTGATGCTGAACAGAGTGGGAACAACAGCGTAATACGAAGAGGCACCGCTGGGAGCGAAAAGAGACTGACAAGTTGCGTGCTGGCTGCGTCAAAAGTCGTAGACGCTGCCACCGGTCGGTCTGTCACTCAGTCCCAGGCTGGGAGGGGAGAGGGTGGAGGCCGGTTCGCTGTCGGTGGTGCAATAAACCTGTTCAATGTTGCGCTATTCCGACAAGAATAAGAACGGCCACGGCGTGCGTCTGGTTCATGCAGCTCAGGGGCGAGAAACGCCGCGACTAGTTGGTCCACGTTGTGGCTAGGCCTTGTTCTGTTTTCCGTAGCGCAGCCCGCCGGAGACGATAGCGCTATCTTTGGGTTGTCCTTTTTGCTGGTTGTTGGCGCCCTGGTACGAGTTTCCTACCCAAAGGGGCGACGTGATGATGATACGCAGGGTCGTGTCGGCGTGGCGCTGCTAGTGCCGACTTGGGAAGATTGTGATACCGACGATGCGGTCGGGAGAGACGATAACAGACTTTGCTGATTAGGTGCGAGAACCTCTGGAAGCGAAATCGACCTCAGCTGGCCGCTCGTGTGTTCGCTAGCAATGTTGTTGCCGTCCCGATGATGTGATGCCAGAAAGTCTCTGGCAAACGGTAACCGGGTCTCTTTCAGCTCTTGCCCGCGGCTTTTGGAGACTAGGAAGTTCACGAAGCTGAGCTGATGATTGCGTTGTTTATGCTGTTGCTGATGCTGCGCAGGCCGGTGGCTATGCGTTCTCGTGTCTGCGGAGACGGCCTCTTGTTCTCGTGATTGTCGCTGTTGATGCAGGAATTGTGGTCCGTGTTCAAGTTTTTGCTGGTTTTCCGAGGGTCGTTCGGGGGTGATCCAAGTTATATCACAGTGATACATAGCAATGCAGGTCAGACTGGCGATAATCAACAATGTCTCGTCGAGGTCTGGTATAGATGACTTGTATGTGAACTCTGTGTCGAGAGGGGGCTTGACGCTGATGAGGCTGGTGGCATTATGTAGGTAACTCTGGATAGGTCTCATCCCTAACGAAATGATTCTGAGCACAAGTGACGTACGTGCCTTAGAAAAGCCCATGTGGCTCAACACCGCTTGGGGTCTCACATAGGTACGAATTTCAATCCCACGTTTTCCAGCCTGGTTTTACCCCGATGAGGTATTCGTCGGGCAATTTCTTTTTCTGTTGTTTCTTTGGTGGCCCCAGGTTAGGTATTGCCCATGGCTCATGGGCCCGCTAGCACTCGCTTTGAATGGAAGCTCCCCGGCCGGCACACGTTTCCGAACAGACAGAGTGTGGCCAATGCTGGAAGGTGTTAGGTCTTCCCGCAAGCGCAAGGGTAGGATCCGGTTTCTTGCTCTCATTTTAGATGAAAGCTCACACTTCGTGTCGCGGGAGATCCCTTGAGCGGAACGCCTTCGTTCAGCCATATGGTTGGTCTATGATCTCAAATACAGCCCAGGGTCGAGACTGGCGGGAAATATGACGGCCCCCAAGAAAAACGGCTGAACGGTGAGTGTCTGAAAGGTGTACACACCGCGCGGCTCGGGGGCGATAAGATACTTCGGTTCTGAACTTCTGACAGGTCGGAGGTAAATCAACCTCGTGTGTGGGTGCATGGGATGGGTACCATGGGGTTGTGGTGGTTCAACACCGAGGTCGAAAGTGGGTATGCAACCGGACATACGTCCGGAGAGAACTTCACCTTCTCAGTTCGGTTTACTGGCGCCTGTATACGTAGCTCGACCAAGTCTTGGGGTTTGCTTCATCGTCAAATGATCGGTTGGCGCCAGGTAGCTCTGACAGTCCAGGCTCTGCGATCGACGGACAGCGTACGCAACCTAACCGCAACCACAAGACCAAGAGCCTGGAGGCACGGGGTTCGTACCTTGCAGAGAAGGCGGCTTTCGGGTCCCAACAGAAGGAATAGCGGCTGGCGGTCGATCCAAGCATGTTTTGACAAGTCGCGGACCACACCCTCCTGAGTACTAGCACACAATCAACTGACCGATCTTTTCTCGTAGGGCCAGCGCCGGCCCTTTCGAGCCGAGACATTTTGATGCTCATCCTCGGCGGATGCGATGACTTCATAGCCTCGTTTCAACCGCTTCACGGTGCCCTGCTCGTCTCCGCATTTCTTCGTTCCCGCTTCGCTGTATTGACCTCCAGGAGGCCATGCTCACTCCCCGTTCTCTGAATACCTTGCAAGTGAGGAATCATCAAGGGCCAGACCAGAGTCTCGGTGTATTGGCAATACGCTTGTGCTCTGGAAAATGCCAGTCCGCCCAATTATGAAGCGCCCCAAGGCTTTTGGCATTTTGGCCGATGTGCAGGGGTCAGCTCCTTCGTGCGAGCCACACGACCAACCCCTAACGTCACTGTGACTGAGCTTGCTTGCGTGGTGTTTGCCATCCTTCATTTTTCTGATCGTACTTTCAGCCACATATCTGGAAATCGACAAGATGACGTCCAGCTGGCCCATCAAAAGGTCGTTTCGTTGTTCACGAACCAGCCGGAGCGTCATGTCCGTTCCCGGTTGCCAGCGAAGCGCCTGAGCCTTACGTAAAGTCCATTTCTATGTACTCAACAAAGCTTTCCGCGTCGAATTGAGTTTCTGGGGTGCAGACCGAGGGTGGCCATCGAACAAGGTGACCCCTCATCTCAGAACGCATCCGGTGCCTTCCAACTCTCTCCGCGTCCTGAGACTGCCGAAGCATCAGACCATTCGTTCTTGGACCCAGAATGCGGGGAAGCTGGCACTGGGGTGTGCATGAGGTTGACAGGCAATAACATGATAATCGACTGGTCCCCAGAATTCCCAATGAATCTTGTTCATGGTGGCATGATGATTGTAAACTTGGGGTGCATCTTCATAGTTGTGACTTCGGTCTTAGCCGTGGCCTGAGTACAGTTCCGACTCTTCGTCGTTTGTCCCAAGGACGAGTGTTATTCGCTAGGTATTCGAGGCGCCTGATCCAAGGTCAACTCACCACTTCCCTCTTCGCAGTAGGTATCTGCACATCCTAGGTTTTCGGGGGGCTTGCTGTTAGTGAGACGACGAATCGCCTGCTCCGGAGCTCGGCTTGGACCCTGATTTTGTTTGTGACCTGCGTAGTAGCCACGCAAGTCATCGCAGACCCTTGTTGGCCCTCCCTACAGGCTGCGTGGTGGAATGCAACCCCGAAGTATTACAGCGAGCTACTTTTGCCCGTGAACTCTCCTGATTGTTTACGGGTATTTACTGCACCTTACACTACGGCCTGCTTGTTATGATGCTGCTCACTAAGCAACGTATTCAATGGTGGGGTGCGAAGGCAAACTCGCCACAAAAAGAGAAAACCGACATGGCGCTCTGAACTTTATGTTATACCAGACTGCGCGCGTGCCTTTTCGTGTTCGACAAAGTCCGTGTAAAAATAAACGGGTCTCCGTTTGATGTGTGATTATTTGATCATGATCAATGGCCAAAGCTGATAGAAATGCGGTGTGTTCATGGTCAAGGTATCACGCCTCGCCTGACATGCCGCCTCACCACAGCGCCCTGGTGGTTGGCGGTGCTGAGAGTCGGCAAATCCGAATAGGTACGCTGTCGTTATAGAACGGTCCTTTTTGCTGTTCCCTCGGTGGTATAGGAAACTCGATGTAGCTCAAGCCCATCTCACGCTGACGGCAAAGGCTACAAAAGGCCTCGAACGTGACCTCGTTCCGCTGCGTCGCGGATATCAAAACCTGCACGGCAGGAAATAGGGCAAATAGTTCCTCGACGGTTGCGATGAGGGCCGGGATGATGCTCTGGTCATAGGTGATATCTGCTCCGATCACAACGTCAACGCTCTCGCCGTTGTTCCACTTCTGGTCCTCTGTCCCCACGAGAGCATGTCCCCATCGCAATTCCATTGGTCTGATAAGCGTACTTTCTTGCAGTTCGTTGAGGAAGAAGCTCTCTGGTAGGTTATTGATCACATCATCAGATCCATCGGAAGCGACAACGTGCGTGGCGCCGAGATGTTTGACGCAGAGGATCGCCAGGTATCCAGTACCTGCACCGAGTTCGAGAACTCGCTTTCCCTTGACGAGATTTGGGTCTTCACACAGGAACTGCCCTAGATGCAGCGCGGCTTCCCAAGTTCGGAGACCCGTGGTGCCAGAGGCAGAGATCAGCGAGCGGGCCTCAAGCAGTGTGATGTCAGGGGAAGGCGAGTGCTGTGACCGGGGGCTCTGCTCAAGACCACTCAGGTGATACGTGACGTAAGATTTCTGCTGGGCAGAGGACACCTCAGATGGGACTGGAGTCGCGAGAGATTCGGACAAGACCGTCATGAGATCCTCGGAAACTTCCTGGTCATAGTTAGAATATGCCGGTAGCTGGCAGCAGAACGTCATGCCACGGCGCCGTTTACAGGGAGTCAAGACTTACATGTTGGTCCCAATCTTCGATGCTGGACTCTATCCTGGCGACCAGTTCCTTTAGAACCCGGAGACGATATCTTGCAGGAGGGCTATAACGTGGTGCTTCATCCGAGAAGAGTTTCTTGTAAATGGTATCTTGGGCGGAGGCTTCACGAATGATCTCCGCGGTAGGATACTCAAGTGTTGGCTCCAGTTGAAGATACTGGTAACAGAAGCGGTCCACGGACTCTGATATGCGTTGGGTTCCGGCCATGATTGGGGTTGGTGATGTGAAACTCTGATAAATATCGTATGTTGCCTGATTCGGTGTAGTGTAGAGCCTCAGTTCTGGATGATGGTCCGATTTGTCTTTTCCGGAGAGAGATGATCGTCTGGCCAAGATATGAGATTTTGCATGAGGAACTAATTTCCGAGGACAAAGGATCCTGCAGGTTCCATCAGCAAAATCCCAGAGACATGGGTTATTGAAAAGACGGTGATAGTCGGAGCTTGAAGTTGGAAATGCTCTTGATCTCTGGTTTGCAGTGCACAAAATGCGCAAGGGTTGGATGCTGACTCAGAGGAACGTCGACCACGGTGCAAACACCGTGCCTGGGAAGCCAAACATCACATGACCAATTCCGAAAAACATACTGGCCCGTGCGTCCACTGACCCCACGTGACTTTCCATTTTTCGACCCAGGCAGGTGCGGCGGATCCTGAGGCACTTTCTAGGGCTTGCCCACCCATTAAGCGACACCAATCCCCGCCCAGGAAAATTCACGTCTGTAGCCCCGTCACAAACCTCTCGAATTTGACGATATCACACCTTTCGACTCTTCTGTCTCAGCGCCAACCCATCTCGACAGACAGATCAGCCCCCCGACCGACAAGATGGCGGACGTCGACACCCCCGTCACCCTGCGAACTCGCAAGTTCATCCGTAACCCCCTGCTTGGCCGTAAGCAGATGGTCGTGTGAGTTTGCCCCTCCAGATTTATCATCATTTTTCCCCGAGAGAGAATTGCGCGCGTACGAAAGGATATATCGAATGGGAGGAGGAGAGGAGGAACACCAACAATCGACACTGCGATATATCGACAACGACTGAATCGAGACTCGGATTGGGAAACGGACGGACGCGCGCGCGATGGATGGACTCGATGGGACTTTGTCAATGGGAATTTCGAGAGACAGAGGAACTGCATGCTGACGGTTTTCTCAAAGTGATATCCTCCACCCCGGCCGCGCCAACATCTCCAAGGATGAGCTCCGCGAGAAGCTCGGCTCCTTGTACAAGGCCACTAAGGACCAGATCAACGTCTTCGGTCTCCGCACCCAGTTCGGTGGCGGCAAGACCACTGGTTTCGCCCTCGTCTACGACTCCCCCGAGGCCATGAAGAAGTTCGAGCCCCACTACAGACTGGTCCGCGTTGGCTTCGCCAGCAAGATCGAGAAGGCCAGCAGACAGCAGCGTACGTCGAGCCTCCAGTCAGCACTTTGCCACCGCAGCATTATCGCATCGCTGGGTATCGGGACAAGACTTCTTTCGTCTGTCCCGAAACTTTGTCGTGATACAGGTCGCGGTGGCGAATCTGATACCACCCTCCCACATCAAGCATTGATAACTAACACTACTCGCGCTCTACAGGCAAGCAGCGCAAGAACCGCCAGAAGACCCTGCGCGGAACGGCGAAGGTCAAGGGTGCCAAGAAGAAGAAGGAATAAGCGGTTCGCCCTTGTTGCCTGGGGTCAGGCCAACAAAACGAGGGGAATTCCCCGGATCATCCGCAAGAGACCGTGGGGCGGCGTTGGTGGAACAATCAAAAAAGAACAATTCAAAATGTCGTCTTGGGCCAATGTGGTTGTTTCTTCTTCCGCTTGGGGGGATGTCCTTTCATTTTTTCCGAAATGGGGAGTTTGTTCCAACTCTGGCTGTGTGCATCTTATTTGATGAAACAAATGCGGCTTTTGCATCATCCCCATGCGTCGGTCCGGCTGGGTTTATGTCGGCCACGCAAAAACAACTAGAGTCTACGCGGCGTGATACGGGGGAATGGGTTCATGATTCTCTCAAATATGAAATGCATCAAAAACACGTATCCCGATGGTCCCCCCTACTTTCAGTCCATGACGTTACCACTTGCGGGGTGAGTGTCTTTGTTCGTCTGAGTGTCACCGCGACTTCCATCGCCCTCCGCCAGTAGCCATACTTCATCAGCGTTCGGGTTGATGAATCTGGAGGTGCGTAGCAGTTATCACGACCCCCATTCAACGTCGGTATGCTCTTTTCAGACACTTTTTTTCTGAGTGCACGATATTGCCACTTGCGGGGTGGCTATCTTTCCCCGTCTAATTTGCCATGAAGAGCCATGAAGCCCATTCCTCCTCCCACCAGCAGCTCTTTGGCGGCCAAGGTTCTTCATCGGAGATATCCATTTGTCTGGTAGCCTCGCCCACGTCCTCTTAACCGATGCTCGTGCAGTGGAAGTGGAGAAACTTTCTGACCGAACTATCACCACGAACACCACGACTGGGGCCACGAAAACATGACAGTTCCATGCCCGGTATGCTGCTATACACAGGTTTACCTTTGACTACTATTACCAAATACATTAATCGATAATAGAGGTTTCTTGGTGGCATTGTATCTTATTCGAGATCTTTCTCGCAAATAGTAATCCCCATTGACATTCCCATTTATATATTCCCAGCTGGCAACAAGCAACAATTCTCGAATCCTTAAATCACTCTCCCATCCAACAATTTCTCGGAACTCAAGCGCAAAGGTCTTTATTCCCAGATCAACAGCGTCTACACCCACTACGCTTCCCATGATCGTAGTCCACCTGCGAATCCGTGATGAGACGGTTTTCCCGCCTTTGACTTGCCAAGAGTCAAGTTCACCCTACTCAGACAGAAATGTCTAGATATACCCATTCGTCATCCCTATGGCTAGCCGTGATGGATGAAGGAGATTGAAGCTACATGAATTACAGAGACTTCTTGTACTTATCCTGGGGTTTAAAAGTACTCCTCATCTGACAGTTCAATAGTAGCGGAACGACGGGATTCATCAAACAATACTTGAATGACTACTGCGAGTCATGGTAGATATCGTAGGGAAGAGACAACGTATCCGGAATTCTCGTTTCAATGACCACTTTACCAATCCTATAAGACTCAATCTCTTCCGCCCTTAACCATGCATAGCCCATCGACGCCATTCTCCTACCCCACCATCAAATCTGTCCATTGCATCTCTCAACCGTTAGCCACAGGCCTCCCAGTTCCAGAAACACCAAATCTCACCCAGAGGGCCATCACAAAGCACATAGGGAAAAAAATTCACTCATTCTCCATGTTCAAAACTTTGGAATTATTTCTCTATCAATCGTGTAATGGTGGTATTCATGCAAACCCCATCCCCCAAAAAGCCCAACCTCAAAAAAAACGCCATTGTACCACTGTCTATATCTTTCACATGACACCAGTGGAAACGCCGTACCATGCCAATGCCTTGATCCATACCACATACACCAAGATCAAAACACACAACAAGCCACCTTCAAATCTCCCTCAACTTCTTCGTAGGCCTAGCGAGCGAATCATCAGGCAACCCACTCCTCTTGGTGCCAGGCAGACTACTCGTCCGGATATCGTTATCATCCTGACTGACCCTCCGATGCGGGTACTCATTCTTCAACCCCTCAAAACAGTGCGCGTTCAACCGATCACCCGTCGAAAAGAACGGGTGCTGCAGCGCCTTGGCCGCAGTCAACCTCTCCACGGGGTCGTACTCCAACAGGCTCGCGAGTAACTTATACCCCTCAGCCCCCAAGCTCGCCAGCGGCGCGCCGCCCCCGTTTCCACCTTGCGGCGCCGACGTCGCGCTGCTCGAGGCCCCCTGCGATATAGTGCTGTAATACCACTTTTCCAAATTCGAGCCGCTCGGCGCGGGAGGGTGGTGACCGTACCCGTGTCCGCGGTGGTGACCGTGGTGGCCGTGGTGATGCGGCGTCATGGGCGGCTGCAGCGTAGCGAGCTGCGGATACTCTGGCATGGCGGACAGCAGCGGCCAGCGCTCCTTGGACGGCAGGCCCATGATGTCGACAATCTTCTGCATCTGGTTCCGCTGGAAGGGCACCGTCTTCTTGCTGTCCATCTTGGCCTCCTCGCCCTTGAAGATGGGCCGCAGCGAGAGCAGCTCCGCAAAGATGCAGCCGATGGCCCACATGTCGATGGCGGGGGTGTAGTGACGACTCCCGAGTATGAGCTCAGGCGCGCGGTACCAGATCGTCACGACAACCTTATCGCCGCTGAAGAGGGAGTGCAGGGGCTTGTCGAAGCGGCGGGCCAGACCTAGATCGCCAATCTTGACTTCCCCAGCTGAGGTGACCATGATATTGGCGGGCTTGAGATCGCGGTGCAGGACCCAGTTGGCGTGTAGGTACTGGCAACCGTTGAGGAGCTGGAACATGATGCTCTTGACCGTCTGTGGCGGGATGGGATGGCGAGGGTTTTGCGTGTGGTGGTGAATGATTTGCAACAGATCGTGCTCGGCATACTCAAAGACCATAAAGATGCACTTGTCTTCCAGGATGATTTCGATGAGCTTGATGACATTGGCATGCTTCAGCTCACTGCACAAAGACATCTCGCGGATGGCAGACTGAGAAATGCCCGTATACGAAATCTGTTCACCCTCCTTGTCGGGCTTGAACTTCTTGATGGCAAACTCGCCGGTTTGGCCCTGGCGGCCAAGGGCTTTGTAGACGCGGCCATAGGTTCCGGAGCTAATGAATCCGACGACCTTATATCGCTCGATAACCCGGACCTTGGGCTGATAATTGATGTGGCCGAGGCCGCGGTCTGCTGGATCTGTGAAAAATGTGTCAGCGGGGTTGAAAGTGAGTGAGAAGCAAAAGCAGAGATGAAATTGGGAGAGGATGCCATATACAAGAGCTATGACTGTGCAGGCCGCCGTAGCCTATTCCCCTCCACATGTTTGAGAAAAAATATGTGATTGTGAGAGAGGTCCTTTTTGTGAAAAAAAAAAAGGAAATGAGACAGGCGATGCGAGCGACGAGAGGATTTAGGGAGTAAACACAATATGCACTCGCTCTACAGACAACACATGTCTCTTGATCCCGAATACACCAGGAGGGATGGAATATCAGGTGAGGCTTTCGGGAAGCAGCAACACACGTGGTGACAATCGCCAGGAAGAACACCTCCAAAAGCAGGCAAAGCTCACCGCCGATCCAAGAGCAGCAGGTTCAGGCTTCGGGGTCTGGGTCTGGGGCTGACTGCGGCAGGCAGTAGGCAGTGTGGGCTGGAGTTCGCGGGGTGGCTCTAAGCTTTAAAGAGCAAATAGGCAGAGAAGCGGCGCCGGCGGAAGAATGCAGCCTGCCACCCGTCGAAACACACACTGGACACACACACACAGAGCACGCACGGCACAGCTCGCGAAGTTGCGCCGGAACCCTTTTCCTCTCGGCTGAGTGCTCAATGATCGTGTGAGATGCAAGGTAGCGGTGGGGAAAGGGAAAAATGAGGAGACGGCAGATGCAGGACCCCCGAAAGTTATGTATAGGTTGTATTTCTCACGGCGGGATACCCGGTAGGATGGGATAGGATGGGTGGAGGTCGAGGAGGATTAGGATTGGATTGGATTGAATTTGGAGACGCAGTGAGGATATGTGCTGGGATATGTCTCTGAATGGGTGTGTATGAAAATTCTCGGAAAATGGGGCGAAGGCGAAAATGTGGAAGAGCAATAACAGGCGAGCTGCCGCTGAATGATGGCCCCGATTCCCGAGAGCTTCGTTTCCTCAAAGATCCAAAGGGTCTTGCGGAGGAGTGAGCGTGAAACTAACTACTGCGCAATGCCTAGGACCGCGGATGTGGAAGTGAATGTGTGGTGTATGGCGTATGGCGTGTGGTGAATGAGAGTGAGAGTGAGTGGAGGAGTGAGTGAGAGAGTGTGTGTGCAGTGCAGGAAGAGACGTGCAGGATTGCGAGTGGGAGGGGTGCATTCGACCAGATACGATTCGATACACAAGACGGATGGAACACCCGGGGTGGTGGTCGACGATCGACAAGAGGAGAAAATGTGGATAAGATTATACATTAAAAGAAACGGGGTTTGCAAATAGGGTACGAGCAGGCGACGGCGGCGGCCGCGGTGACAGCCGCAACGGATGGATGGTGGAAGCGAAGCAGCGGGATGAACAAGAAATGTACAATAGGTACTCTCTGCGTGTTCTGCGTGTGTGCAAACTCTCTGTCTCTCTTCTCTCACTTTGAGTCTGAAGTGTCAAGTGTGCTTGCTGCCTTTAGCTTCACTCCTCATCCAAATTTTTGTCTTTTGCCGCTGCTATGCTCGCTCACTTGTTGCACCTGATGTTTGTCGCTTGACTCTCGGGTTGCCTTCCGGAACGACACATTGACATTCAACTCGAGTCAGGCAAGCCGCAAAAAAAGGGCAAAAATTGGGAAGCCAAGGGGGCAAAAAGTGAACGGCAGTTACGGACGAGAGCGTTTGCAGAAGTGTATGATGAACGTAACCGACAAGCAAACATCAAGACTCACCTTCAAACGCTGCCTGGACGCTTCTCTTGAGCGTGCCTGTCCGCACCGAGCCAGGACCCGATGCAACGGATGGCGGGTTTGTCAGACTCATCATCCGTCGGGGTGGTGGTTCGCTGCTGACTTTAATATCCGTATTGGAGTCGCAAATTCGAGGTTCCAAAGTATCCGATTAGGTATCCTCCCCTCAAAGTAACCCCAGTTAACTCGTGGAGTCCTTTTTTCGCTTCAAAGAGTGCCTTGCGGGTTCGTGCTTGCTTGGCTCAAGTCGGAACTCTCAATTCGACAACCGTAAGGTGAGGCTCGCCTCTCTCATCCAAGTTACCTCACAGTCACAATAGTCTCTGCCCCCGCCTGTGAGACTGAACCACAAGTGCCCTATCCCAGGAACCAGGACTTTGCTTTCGTGTGTCCCAAGGAAATCTCCGCCGAAACGTGGCGAAAATGGGGCACGCACACTTGTCAGTGGATATCGTTCCGGCGAAAGTCTGAATCTGAGCTAGGAAAGGGACACCGTAGCTCCGGCTTTGGGTCTCCAAATAAGTCAAGGTTGTGTCGGCGGCGGCGCGAGCAGGGTCAGGTAAGTGATCGAGCAGCAAAAAGACGTCGAGTCCACAGTCCGTCCAAAAAACCAGCTCCAGCTCAGGGACAGGCGTCCGCGCCAGACCAGCCAGAGAGAGACTCGTGCGCGGCGCAAGAGTGGATGAATGGCGCAAGATCCCGATTCCGCAAAGGTGTCAAAGGTGTGCTCGCGTATGCGTCTGCGCGTAAATGTGGTGGGTGGGTGTGTGCTATGGTTATCTCAGAGTAGCGACGGTCCTGTGCCGCAGGAGACGGGTGTAGTGCCCCGAAACTAACGGCCCCGCGCTGAACACGACAAAAAGGAATATGTCAAACCCCAAATCGAGTCGTGGGCGAGCTTATCCAGAACGACGTTGTCTGGGGGTGGCCGATGAAGGCGCGAACCTGTGTGCGCGCGCGGGGGTCAACGACTCTTTTGGTTTGGAAGTCCTGTTCCCCCTCTCAAATTCGGAGATCGGGCTTGCGTAGAGATGCGCCCACACGGCGGACTTTTTCGCCGCTGAGCTGAGCAAGTGGGCTGGCTGGGATCTTCTTAGATGCTTCGCGGATCCTTTCGCGAGTTGCCGAAGTGAAGAAGACCAATGCGATATTCGCGACAGGGTCAATGACAGGCTATCAGTCCGCGTTGAATGGCGATGCGCGCCCGCCCTGGTGGCCAGGCAAGTGAGAGTAGGTACGCGATGCGATGATCGGCGTCGCGCGTCGGGCACGAGTCGCAAAGTCTCTGGATTCTGTGGTGTTTACTGTGTGCGATCACAAGCGATGACGATTTGAAGTGCGGAGAAAACCCCCCCCTGGGCCGAAAGTGCCGCAAGGTTGAGGAAGAGGTAGAACTGGAGATAGATCACGGAGAAGGGGCCCAAGAATATACGAGCTGGCGGATGAAGGATGATTGATAGAGTGCAAGCGAGTGAGAGGTTGAAGTTCCAGAAGAGAGCAAAGAGTGAGTTGAAGTGACGTTTCACCGGCAAGCAACAGACGAGGCGGCGTGGCTTCCCATCGACTTGGGCGTACTCCGTAGAGGTACGCGCATCGCTCTCTCTGGTAGCGGGAAGCCGCTGCCTGGTGGCACAGTGTTGAGGTTGTGTTATCTTACACGGTGTTGGCCTCCCGGTTCATCGATGGAAGCTTAAGCATAGAAAGAGATCAACACCTTGTCCAAAACACTCAAAGATAGCTCTCCTTTGACCAGAAAAGACTTTCTGTACGCCAGTGTCATAATAGAGTTCATCAACTTTTTTCGTTAGAAAACAAAACGAGGCTCTAAAACCTGCCACATGCATGCTACGTCTACTACCAACGCGGCCATCACATCCATCACCTTGGCAGACCATTCATCTATCGCGGGCCGAGCTTCTCAAGCACGCGCGGTCCCTGTTCATCCCACTCCTCCTTGGTCACCCACATACCCTCCTTGTCTGCCATAATGTTGGCCAGCACCGCACCACCGAGGAAGACCATGTGTCTCCGGCGAGGTGGGTCTTCTATCCGGACCTTGAACTTGTTTAATCTCTCCGGGTTACCGCCAAGCACCCGCGTCAGCCACAGCTGCTTCAACTCCTTCTCCAGACGTGACGGGAGACCAGGGTACATGCTGCTGCCGCCTGACAGCACAATGGCCTTGTACAGCGATGATCTCACGTCCACATCGGCCGCCTGGATCGTGTTGAACAGGAATTCGGCAATACCGGGCTGTTCGCAGTCCACCAGGTGAGGCTGGAACATGCACTCTGGCGCCTCGAATCGCTCGCTGCCCACTCTAATGACACGGCCGTCGGGCAGCGTGTAGCTCTCCACCAGCACCGTTGTGTCCTCGCTTAGGCGCTTGTCCAGCTCCAAGTCGTACGAGACGTAGCAGAGCTTCTCCTTGATCTGACGGACAGTCTCGAAATCGGCCGTTCGGTTGAGCGCGTAGCCGCGGCGCAGGAGGAGCGCAATGAGGTTGCGCGTGACGTCTCGGCCCGCGACATCTAGTCTGCGGGTAAGGTGGTTCAGGACGACCGACTCGTAAACGGGCACGATGTGGGTCACGCCGTCTCCCGAGTCGACGACGACACCGGAGCTGAGACCTGTAGGGAGCATCCAAGGTCAGCCTCGTTGCATATTCTCGCGCTCTCTCTCTCTCTCTCTCTCTCTCTCTCATCCAAGTCGATCGTAGCTAGTGTGGTCAACATACCTTGGGCGTACAGGGCCAATACGGCCTGGATGGCAACATAGACGCCGCCGAATCCGTAGCGGTCAAACATGACCTCGCACATCTGCTCACGGTTCCGCAGCGGGTTCATCGGGGGCTCGGTCAACAAGATCTTGCGGCCGCGCGGGTCGACCTTCATCTTTTCGAAAAAGGTGTAATCCCAGAGATGCTGCATGTCGTCCCACTTCTTGACGATACCGTTCTCCATGGGGTAGCTGATCTGAAGCATCGTCCGGGCGGCGGCGGCTTCGTCACCGCACATGATATCCTTGATAACCAAGTCATTGTCCTCGCCCTTTTCTTCGGTTCTCAGGATCGGTCGGCCGACAATGGATGGGTATTGAAATTCGGGGAAGTTCTGCGCTGCGTAGCCGACCTTGAGGAAACCTGTTCCTCCGTCGAGGACTGTGGATCTTGCGTCAGCCACCTCCCGAACAGAGAGCATCAACTGCTGGGGAAAGCGGTCACAGGCATAGCTATGCAGCCGTAGCTGCAGTATCAGGGGCATTGCATCTTACCGATGGGGGCCTCGGCTGCCATTGTGAAAGCAGAAGCTGCAGGCTTTCGAGATTGGAGCTTCTTTCGATTTGGGGGAGAGGTGAGGTGAGGTGAGGTGTGGTTGGGAGAGCGTCCGGGAAGCTGTTACGTCTGTGTCGTCGATAGTGGGGTTGGGCCAAGTCCACTGCCTCCCAGCTGTCCTGCCACTGGATCGTCAGCCAGGTCGTGGCTGAGTACGTATGTGCGTGTCACGTGATACCCCGCAGCCAGCGGTCGTCACGGTCCATGACAGTGGACTCCAGTGCACTGTCACTGAAAGAAGTGGTGCTGAAGGACCTGGAGGAGCCGTAGTCGGCTCATTCGGTGCACTGGAACCCAGCGTCACCGGACCGGCAGCCCCACCTTGACGGGAGAATCTCCACTCGTTGAAGGCCGCTGGTCGGCGGGACCACGATGATTCACGCGCTTGAGGGGTGAGTAGCACAGTTTATTTGACGTTCATTCTCACAAAGTGTCGACCATCTCGTAAGGAACAACCTCTCTAGTCATATTTTCTGCACAGTCATAAGGCAATCATGGCAACCCGTCTCCTTCGTCGGAATATCAAGATCCTCGTGATCAACGCCAACTCTTCAGAGGATATGACGAGGGGCATGGAGAAAGCCATACAAGCAATGCCCTTGCACGATGTAAGTCAAAATGAACCAACAGGCTGGACACGGCGGCCAAGTCACAACCACAAATGATCGAGGGCTGACGTCCCTCTTTCTGTGTTAGTCGCTCGAAATTCACACATACACAGCACCACCTGCCAGTCCAGCAAGCATCAACGATGATGCCGACATCAAACTGAGTACCGAGGTCGTCATGAACGATCTTGCCAAGAGTGGCAAGCTCCAAGACTTCGACGGCGTGCTCGTCGCATGCTATAGTGTCCACACCTTGGTTGAGCAGCTTTCTCAGCAGTTCCACTCCTCGCTGGCCGTCACCGGTATCTTCGAGGCCAGCATCCTGACTGCAACTTCACTCTTGCCTCACAGCTCTGACCCTTCTCTCGCATCCAAATGGGGTGTTGTCACGACTGGCGAGTTCTGGGAGAAGCACCTCAGCCAAGGCGTGAAGGGCTACCTGGGTCAATCTGATCAGGCAGAGAATGTCAAGTTCGGGGGCGTTGCGTCGACTGGCTTGACAGCTGGAGACTTCCACCACGTCAGCCCGGCTGAAGTCAGGATCAAGCTGGAGCAAGCGACCAAGAAGCTGCTAAGTAGCGGAGATGTGCGGTGTGTGGTTATGGGATGTGCAGGTATGGCCGGGCTCGAGGAGATCATTCGCAGCTCAGCCAACGACGTCTATGGTCCAGAGAAGGGCAGCCAGGTTTTCATCGTGGATGGTGTCAAAGCTGGCATTTTGCAGCTCGAGCAAACTGTCAGAAGCAGACGCTTGTTCCAAAACTGATGGATCTATTAATAATACCCATGCTATTGACACCCATTCCCAACGCCGTACCTTTTATCGCTCTATTCAAACCATTGAAACACTACAAGAAGCAAGACACTGTCTTAGTCGAGCCGTCTAGTGCGTCCCCAGACTTCGTCTGCGTCCTTCTTGCCCCGGGTTTCGGGCACCTTCACCGAAACAAACAGGGCAAAAAGTGCAGCGAAGCCGGCGAAGAGGAAGTACACCCAGCCAGCTCCTCCGAGCCAATTGTTGAAGGCATTATTGACGATCGGAAAGAACTGAGCAACCAAGAAGGTCGCGACGTAGTTGGATCCCAGGGACCAAGACTGGACGGCGCCAACAGCCTCTTGTCCAACCATTTCGGACGCGAGGATGAAAGGAACCGGACCAAGGCCAACGGCGAAAAATGCTACAAATGACACGACTGACACGGCTGACAGGATCTTGACCCCAAACTGGATAGAAAGAGCAAGAACCAGCGAGCTGATTCCCTGTCCAATGATGGAGATCAGGATGCAGGTCTTTCTTCCGAGCTTGTCCGGCAGCGGAGAGCAAGCCGCAGTCGTAATGAGATTGATGACAGAAATCAAAATCGTCAGTAGCGCGGAGCTGACGGGCAACAAGTCGTTCAGGAGAGATACCGAGTACATGATGACAGAGTTGATGCCACACAGCTGCTGGGCAAACATGATGCCGATAATAGCGGCGATAGCGGGTCGGTGAAGCGGGTCTTTGATCACGTCGAAGAATCCAAGATGGACAGGCGAGGTGTGCTTGGGCAGGCCAGGAGACACTGGCGGCACGTCGTCGCTCTGGGCCAAGAGACCCTCTTGCTCAGCGTTCACTTCCCCATCCCAGCTCTCGACTTCCTCTCTAATGTCGAAGTCCTTGCCACGGATACGCTGCAGAGTACGGCGAGCCTTCGGGACGTCGCCGTTGGCAGCCAGCCACGCCGGGCTCTCAGGAATCAACATGAGGCCGGAAGCCTGTGCCAACGCAATGAAGACGCCGGCAGCCAAGATCCAGCGCCAAGCCTTCCCGTAGCTCAGGAAGAAGCCCAGAGTTTGGACGGCAAGAATGCCCACGTTGATGGAGACCTGAGTCATGGCACCAAACAGACCACGCTCCTTTGGCGGCGCGATTTCACTGATGTACAGCGGAACAATGACGGTAGACGCGCCAGCCGCCATACCCGTGAAGAATCGGCCGATTGCCAGAGCAGCAGCACCTCCAGCGAGGGTTTCGATGATGGCACCGATAATGTATAAAATGGACGTGACTCGCATAGCAGGACGTCGGCCGCGCTTCGAAGACAAGGGGCCGGCACAAAGAGCACCGAGCAGGCCACCGACAGTGAAGATGGAGGAGACAGTCGCGAACACGGCGTCGGACATGGGAATACATTCGGGGAGCCAGGGCTCGGGGTCCGGCGCCTTCGAGTGCACCCATGTGAGCTTCACTCCCTTGGCCGCAATCGACTTCTTTCGACAGGTAAGGACATCTTGAGGGGCGTTGAGCTCGGCCTGGAAGAGAGGCACAGCGGGTCAGCAAGTCACGTTTCGTGGTTAAGCAAAACGACGTTGGAGCGGAATGATGCAATGACATACAAGGTGGAAGCCGAACTGCAGGGGGCCCAAAGTCGAGACAGAAATTAAGACAAGCAAGTATAGGCTGACATCGTGCATGCACTGTCGAAGACCCGAAGGAGCCATGTTGGCGAACGACGCTGGATGCTGCGAGGTTGTGTGTGTCGTCTAAAGTGAGCTCGGGATTGTGTGAAGACGGTGGTTTGTGTTTGGGGCAAGTTGAATCAGTTGAGAACAAGGAACCTGCCTCGTTCGAGAGGGGGGCAATCGGGACGACAAAGCGAAGTTGGGAAAGCTGGGGAAGTCGCCGGTGGTCATGGGGAAGCTGCCCACATGCCACAGCTGCCACAGCTGCCACACGTCGCTGTTACGCATTTCAGCGCCGCTAGCAGCCACAGTCTTTGGCACGCCGCGCTGTTCCAGGATCCGCGAGCGGGCCGGGATCCGGTTCAGTAACTAAGGTACATTTCCTAGCGCCGTTATTCGCTGCACTCTCAGGTACCTGATCATTCATCGCAGAAAGCTACCTATGCCTCCAGGCTGATGAGTCCACATCTTATGAAGCAGTCGATGCCAATGTTGAAATCATGAGGTGGTTTTTGATCGATCTCTTTCCCAATGAACCGATTATACTAATGTATCTTTAAGAAGTAACATTCGGTTTGTCCAGCATGATACATGATCTGGTAAACATAAGCCTCTCGGGAATTAATCTTTTCTTAACCTTCACAATTTGGATTTAGAAACTGTTGGATAAAAGTGTTTAAAATTAATTGTAGTCTCTTCCACGCTCGAAACTTATTGAATCTTACCCAGTGATCTCTTGACAGCGATCTCTAAGCTCTCAACGTCGTTTGGTCCAAGCCCGATCCTCTCATTGTCAGTCTTGTCGTACAAAGTGCCGCCCTCAGCCCAGATGCGTCGCAAGGTAAAGATGGTGGCGTAAGGGATGCCCTCAGCCCACGCCTTCTCCTCAGCTTTCTTCAAGGTCTCCAGCGACGAATAGACGATTTCCCACTTCTCTCCAGTCTGCTTCTCGTACTCGGCCACAATTTCCTTGCCGGTCGCCACGAAGGACTGAACTTTGAGAGCTCGGTTGAAGGATGCCTCGGGGTGACGAAGCGATGCCACCAATGTTGTACCAACGCTTTGAACACTCAAGTCAGTACTGGGGGACACGGGTAAGCGTGTGGAATTGGAAACGTACTCTTTCATGGTGATAAGACCAGTCTTCCCTTCGCCGTCTTCAATCAGGACTGCCTTACGGGCAGCTGTGTCAAACCCGCCAGCCTCTTGCGCAATCGACGGCAAAGTCAAGAACATGTCGACGTAAGGGCCCGTTACCAGGTACGTGTACTTGAGTCTCTGAACACTCTCGCGGATGTACTTGCGCACCTTGAGCTTGGCCTGGTGAGGCTTCTCATTGGGGCTCTTGGGACCGTATTCGATATCTGTTCCGTACTCGGAGGGGAAGAACCATTTGACAGAGTCGGTCTCCTCGGCCAATTTAATGAGATCGATTTGCTTCTCAATCACATTTCTACCCAGCGCAGATATAACGGTATCGGCATCCTTGTAAGCCGCCTTGATTTGCTCCGTGTCGTCGACATCGCCGGCGATGATCTTCAGTCCCTTCTTCTTCCAGCCATCGAGCAAGTCTGCTTTCCTCTCCACTGTGGTCGGCGATGTGAAGATGGTGATTTGGTCAAAAGAGGGGCTGGCATCTAGCAATGCCGCTGTGATGAAAACACCAATCTGGCCAGTCGCGCCGAACACCAAGATCTTGGATGCTTTGAAGGTAGCCATGATGTCGTGTTATGAACGAATACGATTTATTAGTGTAGAAGATATATGGTTGTTGTAAAGGGTCTCCAAGTCTTGGAAGTGAGTGCCTGTGGCCGGATGTTTGGTTCTTATAGCTTCAAGTGTATTACAAAACACAGAGCGATAACGGCTCAATGGTTCACCCCACTGAAACTACTAGACACATGCAAGCTGTGCTTCGACCCCTCGAGTCTGACGCCATCTCAAGGTGCGCTTATGAGATGGAGGGGCATTGGGGGAAGCAATGAGGGGAACGGATGCGAGAGCCGTCAAGCCCCACGCCGTTCATCTCGCTCATTCACACTCCCTCAAAGAGACAACAGGCTGTGAACAAGCCGAATGTAAGCGGTCTTAGGAACCGGGCTTCTCCACCACAAGCAACCATATTGTGTCTCCGACCTCCGGTAGAATGAAACTTTGTCTCTAGTGATCCCGGATTCAACTAGAAGCGAAATGTTCGGATGAGGCACGCCATTGAAGCCCAGCGAGATTCCCGACTCCGACCAGGCCGGGTACGTACTCCTCAAGGCCCCACCATGTTAGGTATCCCTGTCGGCACGGTGTTTTCTGAGAGGACAACGGACCCACACGCGGGAGACGGGCAACCCCACCACCGATCGGTGAAGTTTCCCTAGAAATTTTTTTGAAGTTCAACTTTTTTTTTTTTTGGTTCGACAATCGGGATCGCAGCTACCTCGCGACCCGCCGGGCGAGATTCAACGACGACAACACCCCAACCACGAACCGCCGAGCAACCCTCCAAACCGCAAATATGGCGTCTACCGACTCACCAGCGACCAATGGGCACAAGTCCGACAAGAGGAACAAAAAGGATAAGAAGGAGAAGAAGCGCCTGCGCGAGGAGGGCGACGATGCCGTCGAAGAGCGCAAGCACAAGCGCACAAAGAGCCTCGGTGTAGCCAAGAACGACGCCAACGACGAAGAAGAAGAAGAATCTCCTCAGGCTTCACAGGACCTCTCAATGGACGCCGCCGCGACGAGCAATACCAATGGCGAGCCATCATCCGCAAAGAAGAAGTCCAAGAAGGACAAGCACAGAAAGTCAGTAGGCGAGTCCGCCGAACAAGACGGTTCGGATGCCGAGCGCAAGGAGAAGAAGGACAAAAAGAAGAAGCGCAAGTCAGAACAGAAGGAGTCAGCGCAAGCAGTCGAAGATGCCGCAGAGCCGCCAGCGAGCGAAAACAAGGAAAAGAAGAGCAAGCAAGCAGCGTCCCCCGAAACCGTCGCCGACGCAGATGCCGATGCCATGGACGTCGACTCCCCCGCAAAGACGAAATCAACAGGCCGAGTCCACCAACCCCCCGACGCGCCCTCCAAGCCCCAGTTCCCCTTCTACACCCAGACCGTCTCGCTATACCTCCCTATCTACCCCATAGGCTGGGACACACCCTGCACCGCCGCCGCGACGCAGCACCTCGAGCCCCTCGTGAACCGCTACGTCCCGGAGCTCAAGGGCGTCCTCCTCGCCTTCCGCAACGTCGCCGTCTCGGAGCAGCCCGGCCGCCGCTACGCCGCCAAGAGCGACTCGGAGCACTGCGACCTTACCTCCGTCGACGAGTACGCCGTCGGCTTCGGCTACGTGACCGTCGACGTCGACCTCTTTGTCCCTCGCCGCGGCGCCTGGATGGAAGGCAGCATCAACCTTGAGAACGAGGGCCACGTCGGCGTCGTCTGCTGGGGCAAGTTCAACGCCAGCATCGAGTCCAGCCGTCTCCCCCCCGAATGGCGCTGGGTGCACGCCGGCTCAGCCGAGGCCGCCTCCTACGTGGCCGACCCCTTTGACGTCGAGAACACCGAGGCCGCCGCCGAGGACGAGCATGGTGCCGTGCGCCAGATCCACACTACGGGCTTCTGGGTCGACGGCGCCGGGGACAAGGTCAAGGGCCGCGTGCGCTTCCGCATCAAGGCGTTTGACGTCGGCGTCAGCGGCGACCACGGGTACCTCAGCCTGGAGGGCACGATGCTCGACGCCGCGGGCGAGAAGGCGGCGATCCAGCGCGACGCAGAGCAGGAGCGCAGACGCAGAGCCGGTAAGAGCGGCGGCATCCTCTCCAAGGAACGGCGTGCCATGCCCGAGTTCAGCGTCACCAAGTTTGGCGAGGTCGAGGATGAGGAGGACAAGGCGTTGAGGAACGATGTGTGGAAGACGACGGAGCCCGTGACGGATAATGAGGCGGGCGCAGATGGTGAAAAGGAGGCGTTTACGGGCATTTCGACGGAGGAGGCATAAGAAGGGAGGGCTTTGTAATAGATAAGCTTTGCTCTCTGTGTCTTATGATTCCCCGTGGGTCGACTTTTCGGGCGTTTTGAGGGTCAGGGAAAATTTGACAATGATACAATACTTTGCATATACTTCAGGACCGCGAGCTACTCGCTCTGACAGACGGTTGGCTATGAACGAGCACAAGTAGTGCAGTGAAAATGAGCTGCGAGGCAATAGGATTCAATTGGGATGCTAGCCGTTGGCCTAACAGACTTGCAGAAAACTTGGCCCAGAACTACACGCCCCAGCGACATGTCGCCATACCTTGTCCTTTCCACAGTCATTAATATGCCTGGCTTCAAGCGTTAAAGCTTGGCCCGTAATCGAAATCCCTTCCCAAGTAACCCCAGGAGTCATTTCCAAGTCATTCCCAGCCACTGGAGGAAGGAGAAGAGAGACCCCTTGGGAACGTATCCGGCATATCGCGCCTGCCACGAGGAGGCAAAGGTGTCTAGATTGAAATTGGTAAGAATTTGATCGATGAAAACGAAACGAGAGCATGAGATTACAAGACTTACCGGCAATAGGTCCAAGTTCGCCAAAGCCAAGGGCCTCAATAACCCAAGGGGCAACGATAACCAACACGCCAATGGCGATGATGGTAACAAAGACGGGATGCTCCTTGGCAAACTCGAGCATTATCCTGCCCGCTTTGATCGCTAGGCCCAAGGCTTCTTTCAAGAGCTCAGTAACGGTATCGCGCAGACGCACAAAGACTTTGACGCTGCGGCGGATGTAGTTGGTGATCTTCTTGGTCTGGGATTCGGCCTTCATGAGATCTACGTGGCGGTGGTCGAGGTTTCTGTCTCCTTTCTCCGCAAGGCGAAACATGTCGCCGAATTTGGGAGCTGAAATTGTATCTCTTCCTAGTTCTATCTTGATTGTTGTCATTGCAAGAATGATCGTCGGACTGCGTGTAGGTTTGGGTTATCAAGAACGATTTACAACTATCTCGGTTGCTTCTCCTTGACATGTTTGGAACATATTGAAGGGGCAATTCATGATTTATTATATCTCTCTCCAGCAAGCAAGCGAGAATTATCTTCGAACGTTTACTCAGAGTTCAATCTCTGGCAGTTGATGGTAGGCCTCCAGCAGGCCTCCGAAGCATATCCTCTACACCTCTGGCCATCAGAGCCTAAGGAACTCTAAGTCCGGACTCTCATGTTTGAACTTGAAGCTTGAACTGGAGGCAATATTGAGCCATTAACATGTCTTCCCTATCTTGATCTTACTTTCGTTCAATCACATTTTCACATTCGACCGCCCAGCAGGTAGGGCTGATATCTTTGATCCTCCTTGCTATGCTCCCATTCCTTTACAAGCACAGCCCAAAAAACCCCAACACCACTAACACAAAATGAGGTCAGTGGGCTGGTCCATCCGGTCACCACCCAGTTAACAAAATGGTTATATCCGTGCCAAGTATACGCCAGCGAACAGTTGTGAGTCCATCTAACCTAGTCAACAGTTTGTATTGGCAAAAACAAAAGAATTGGGCCCTAACCAGGATTCGAACCTGGGACCTCTCCCAAACGTGCCGAGAAGACCCTAAGGGAGAATCATACCGCTAGACCATCAGGGCTGATACGATTATTGGTTGTTGAAAAATACCGCTCGGTTAACCAATTATGAAGCTACGGATGCGCGCGATCATAGGCTGTGCCGCTGCGCGCGAAAAAAGTGCCATTCCAGATCCCGAAGTTGAAAAGTCGCAGCCATTTGACGCTCCTCACAACAAATGCAAGTGCACGCTCACGCACATATGACGAGATGGCAGTTTTCCTAAACAATGCCTCGTCCGTATAGGATACCTCGCAATTCTTTGAGATTGGCTGGCCTTTCTCCCGCGAATTATCTCATTCTTCAGTTCTTAAAACCTCGATCTTTTCGATAGGTTCGAGAATCGACTCCCGGACAGACTGCCAGTGCCTTATACCTATCACCTTCGTCAATGGCCGTTGCACAGCCAAGCTGGCCAAGCTAGACCCGCCGCAATGGTAATCTCCTCTTGGCTCAGGGTCCCCCTTGATAAGTTCACGTCGCTTACCGCAGCTGCGAACGTCGGGATTCGAATCCTTCAGGCTACGCGAAGCCGAGGGTCTCACCTGCACAACCACCATGCCTCATACAGCGCTCGTATCTCCAACTTCTTCATCTTACGATATCAACGTTTGGCGAGTGTATTGTGCTTGATGAAGGACTTTGAATCATGCGAGCTCTGCGTCGTCTTGGGCTAAGCCATGCCAACCGTTGCCGACTTGCAAAGAGCCATCCTTCCGTGCCATCTTGTTGCTCAGAACAACAACTTCGAGCTGTTCGTTCTCCCAACCCGTATCTTGAATGACCCTGGTATCCTAAGTTAAGCCTTTAAAGTGTGGGGTTTAAATTTTTACTAGCGTGAAGACTGCAATCGACGGACATGATCTCCGTGGCATGTTTCGACATGGTTACTGCGGATAGGCAGCTCCCGCTAACCCGCCTCTGCCACCTGTGGTGGCTAGTGACACTATTTGCTCGCCCACCATATTGTACCAATGGATATCAGAACAACGACTGCAAGCGCAGACTTCTCAACGCCAAAGGACTGCCGTCAACGGCACAAATCCCCGCCGACACCCCTTACGTTATGTAGTTTTAGCCAGGTTCGTTGAATGTAACGGTAGAACCGCTGCTTAGGCTGAACGAATTCTCGCTGCCTACCCGAATAGCCACCTTGCGCCATGTAACAAGAAACCCTAACCATCATCGCCAATTCCAGCATGTAAATCATTGAGTCTGAGTCAAGTCCTTCAAGACCTTCCGGCCTCTCAGCACGTCCTTCTCATGGTACGGCTCCCTCGCCGTCTCCGCAATACCCTCCACAACCCACTGATTAACAGCAGGATGCTCCAACAGCGTCTCCACATACTTCATCGCAGGCTCCGAAACCTTCAACCCAAAAGTCTGGATCCTCGTCGCAACAGGCGCAAAGAAGGCGTCCGCGGCGCTGAATCCCGCACCCGCGAGGTACGGCCCGCCAAAGCGCGTCAAACCCTCGACCCAGAGTTCCTCGAGCCGGTCAAGGTCGCGCTGCAACGCCGCGTCGGGCGGCCCGCCGAGGTCGATGCGCAGCGCCACGTTCATGGAGCACTGGTCGCGGATGGCCTCGAAGCCGGTGTGCATCTCAGCGGCGGCGCTACGGGCGAAGGCGCGGGCGACTTTGTCTTGCGGCCAGGCGGCCGGGTGGTCTTCGGCGATGTATTCCACAATGGCGAGGGAGTCCCAGACGGTGGTGTCGCCGTCCTGGAGGGTGGGGACTTTGCCTGAGGGAGAGAAGCTCAGGAACGCGGGTTGGCGAAGACCGGCGACGAAAGTCTGAAGGCGCTCTTCGAAGGGGACGTTGAGGGCTTTGAGGAGGACCCAGGGTCTCATGGACCAGCTGGAGTAGCGCTTGTTGGCGACGTAGAGGACGTAACCCATTGTGAGTGTCTAGGCGGGGGTGGGGGGCTTGGGAGGATCTTGCGGAAAACCGGAGTAAACAGTAATCGTTTGATGAAGGGTGGTCACCAGCCGGGGGCGGATAAGTATGGTTGAACCCCTAGATGTGGTTTATATAAGTTGAGATTATCGACTTGATTTGACTCATGCAACAGTGCTGGTTTCTAGATATCTTGTCACGCCTTTCGATCGAAGCTCGTGACGGTGGGGGTCGCCAAGCAGGGACAGATGATGAACACTAGTCCTATCGCCCACAGCTTTAAACTCGGTTGATCCAATACTTTCTTAATCAAGCTGCAAGCTCCGCCAAGTTATGACGAATTGAGCTGGTATCACGACTGGTCACGCCGAAGAGGCAGGTTAAGACCGGCAAAATGTGGAGGCCAAGTCAATGTGTGGGACGGATGTCAGTGGAAGGGCGTTGCGATTTGGAGGGTTTCAGTGCCAATAAGCTTTAGCTTGATTAACTAAACGCGGAGAGCCGCCCTAAGGCGTATAAGCTCTGCCACTTGGCACTGAACTAACGTAACAGGGCAGACCTGTTAGGGACTCCACATGGTTGTCCAACGATGATTAGTGGCCGTTCTCAGTCACCAAGTGTATATCGAGCATGCCCAGAAATTGGCTCAGGCAAGTGGTTTAGACCCCTTACTGTGCCGCATGAGAAATGAATTAGATGTTTATTAGCTGCCTTATAGGAACTCGAGAGAAGTGGCAAACGTTGGCTGGCGTATCTCGAATACCTAAGGTACTGTGCTTGTGTGATATTCATTGACAATGAGTTGAGCTCCAAGTTGGCATCCTATGTCTATCACCTTGCGTATCACATGCAGACAAATTATCAGAAAATTAAAACTTTAGTGATTTGACTCTGATATAGGCTTGATCGGCTTTTATGGTTCGAGGTCTATGTTGGTACGAGAAAGTGGAAACCTCATGCCAAGCTGGGGCTTGTGTCTAACAGGCTGAGCCCAACTTTTCTAATTTTTCATGATTGTCCCAATAATGCGCATAGTTATACCTGAAACTCAGCAGCTGACCCAAAAGCCACTGTCTTCAGCTTTATAAAGAACAAGCAAAGTCGAAAGACAGAGAGCTGCCGCGATAGTTGGAGCAACCATCGCCCAAGCGGAACGGCTGACCGTCCACCAGCACAGGCGTGCATGTCTGAACAGTAGTCTGGGACGTCGCGTCCACAATAGCAGTGACCTGCGTCGCCAGTCCTTCGCTGTTGTCGTCGCTGCAAGCCAGTTCGAGGTTGCGGTACGTGACGCCCGTCTCATCGCTCGTGATGTTGAATGGGTTGCCGCAAATGGGTCCCGACGTGTAAGTGCTCGCGGTGCGGACGGCGGTCCACGTAGCAGTACCCTTGATGGCGCCCGCCTTGACGCAAACGTCGTCGAGCTCTTGGATCGTGGTCGGTGTGTAGGGCGACCAGGCGACGAACATGTTGGTATGAGGGAAGGAGAAGTGACCCAGGTTGATTTGGGGGAGGCTGCAGTTTCCTGCTGACACGAGGGCCAAGGAGGAGGCGGCGATGATGGTAGAGCACTTCATTGTGATGTTTAGCGAAAGTACAGCTTCGGAACTAGAAACCGTTGAATCTTGTGAGGAACGAATGCGGAATTGTAGGGCTGAATGAGGCTTATAGACTGCTTCTGGGACTTACTTAGGGGCGACTTAGCTGAGTTCTTAAATCCCCAGTTGAAGGGATGATCTTCACTCGCTAGGGCTGCGTCATAGGAGGGTGAACTTTCAGCCCTGAATTGAATACGAGCAGCACAATATCCACCTGACTCTGGTCAAGCCACTTTTAGCGTCGCTTCTGCCTGACGCTTACTGAGAAGAGCTTGGCCCAAATAATCCTCACAGGGAGTTCCGCATATACGGGAGTGCTGGTGCTATTCAAGAACATGAGTGGTTCGCAGACCTGTTTAATTCTCAACGCTATAACTTAGTCTGTGGGAAGGATTCAGCCGCTTAAAATGCCCGACTTCGAGCCGATCCGGGCTTCAAAAAACTCCGCAAAGGCGAGCGCGAAGTTCCTGACCATGCGACACCCCTGAATTGAAGACTGGTTAATCAAGTATTCTCTCAATCCTCTCAATGTGGTCAATCTCCTGAACTCATTATCGACCATGTTGCGGGGACCCTGCTTATTCAATGATAGTTCAAACAGTCGGGTTTGATGAGTAACACAAGCTTCAGAAATAATAATGTTGTCTTGAGATTCTTTCCAGAAACAAAGACAGACCTACCATTATAACCATGATTCCGGATGATAGTCACAATTTCAAGGAGGAGATGTTGGTCTCATCGTCCTCAAAACTGTAACACCCTTGGCCCCGATGGAGGAGGCTTACGCTCATACTAAACTGGGATATGATATGTCTTAAGCGGAGTCAGGTGTTCAAGACAGAAGTGAGACTTTAGACGACATCAGTCGGCTAATGAGTCGACAACTATGATTTGAGGAAACAAACATTCCCACAAAGGTCGGATCATGCATGCCGTGACCGGTGTCTAAGTGAGCAAAGGCCCGCCATTCAAGCTAGCTTGACGTCCCGCCAGCCACGTTCGGGGAACGAGTAGAAAAAGGTCTTCGGGAATTAGGGTAGTTGATGCTGAGGCTTAGGAATACATTGATAGGACAGGCAGAGTATTTACAGCTTAGCTTGTCCAAACGACGACGGAGTTCGGGAATCAGAAACGAAACTGGATTCAGTAAACAAAATGTTTTGGTAAACGAAAAGACCTTTCAAGCCATACGAGGCGGATATCCGGAAGGTTGTCGGTAGGTTACGACTATGTCCTAAGCTTGCTTGACTCGGAGATAGGATGTGGCTCAGCCGAGTTGCGTGGGCATACAAATTCTTAGCACGGATATGTAATACCATCCGGCCATGAACCTGAGTCCGCACTGAAGCTGCATGGGCTTGATCCTTCGCTATAATGCTGCTCGTGCCGAAATGACTTGGGCACGAAGCAGGGGCTTTATGGTCTTTCGTGAGGTTGCATACCTGGGACTAGAAGTTCTGGGGAAACCTCCATCATGGACGTTGGCAGGGCAAAGTGAAGGGATAAGCACGGCTTGGATATACGGATATACGAGAGCCCTTTTGGGAAGAGGGAGAGAAAAGCATTAATGGCGCGTGATGAACACAGAGTCATGAGCATGAACTGTTGGTGTTGAAGAAACCCGACGAACTCGGGGAATGCTGAGTTGAAACTCATTCAGCCTCCATCGAAAGCCGTTGAAATAGTGGTGCGGTGGCAAGGATATATGTGAACTCTGTAAACTCAATCTTGCGGAACGGGAACCATCGAGCAGATCAATAGATTGGATGACGTTTACATAATACGATTCAGTATTCATGATTGGGCAACTCCATAACGCGGTGAATGTTTTGCGAGGTCCACGCGACTCGCCCTCACTCACGCAGAGTTCTGTCAGGGGAAGCTAAGTTCGCACTTAAACTAGCCACGATCTGCCTACTTTGAATAAAGCGAATAGATTGCTAAGATACCACAGCAATGTATCCAGATACAGACTCAGGCGAAGAAACACCAGTCATTTATACGGCGATTGCAGGCGCAGCTGCCGCGGCGGCAATCAAGGTGACTGGCATACTCAAGGGGCAGATGATGGATGCATCGTCCGACGAGTACTTCACTGAGGAGGATTCGTCCTCCGACGATGCGCAAGAAGAAGACAGCGACACCAAATACGACAAGGACGGGAACCGTCGCGTACCACTTCTGAGCGACTGGCCAGCACTACCATCGCCCGCCGCATCTCGACGCATGGCGATTGAGCGAGGCGTCCAAAAGTTCCACCGCAGCCAAGCCGAATTGCAGAAGTCCATCGCTGGTGTGAAGAGAACACAGGCCATGACAGCTGCTTCTGCTGCCGCCGACGGTGAACACACGACAAAGAGGGCGAAGACAATAGCCTCAATGGGCCCGGCGCTGGACGCCGTCGCAATCCATCCGGTCCGGCTTACACCGCGGCGGACCAAGTCGAAGCAGCGGCAAGAGTTGATGGAGGTGACATGTGACCGGGTCACCCGCATCCTCGATCAGTGCACGGGCATAATGAAGAGCATAGAAAAGGAAATGCGCGACCCTATTCAGCTGGCCATGACCGACGTGAGGGACAATTTTGGGCCCGAACTGGTACCCTTTGGACTAAAGACCATTGCAACGGAATTCAGCGAGACGAGAATGGACGAAGTGTGCATGAGATTCTCCCTGCCGAAGAAACGGGCATACCTGAAAAGCCAAGGGCTCTTGATCCCTCCTCGAGACTTCATCATGAAGAAGGCTGTAGCCGACGTATGGTTCAATTTTGAGGATAGACTTGTGCCTGATGGGCTGGAGATCGCTTGCCGAAGTTTGATGGAGCCAGGCATGGCCGAGATGTACCTAGTCTATCCGCTGGCGGCCAAGCGAGCATACCTGGAGAGAGAAGGGGTCTTGACAGGCTCCCGTACGGTCCAGAAACCTTTGGATCAATATGTTATGCCCTCGGGCGGAGAGGACAAGGGCCGTGTGCGTGAGTGGCTTGCATCTTTGGACGATACAAGCCAAAGTGCTAAACGTCAAAGGACGGTATGAATAATACGAGTTAATGATATTAAGAAACGAGCGTATGCAGTGGTTATCTGGCGGTGAACTGTGTGAGATGAGACTGAAGTCTATGATAAAAGCTAAGATAAATCTCAGTAGAGATGGGATTCAATAAGAATCAAGATGAATAACAGGGGAAAAGCCGACAAAAACTTGGGTGCGAAGAAACATTCATGTTGAGTTGTTTGATGAGATGAAATGCAGAGTATTACATAATGCACTATTTTTTTGGACTGCAAGGGAATTGATGTCACTGGCGCGGAACTTTGTACCGAAGCTCTGGGACGTCCCAAACTTTTTTCGACCACCTCCAAAAAGTCACCCAATCCCCCCCAATTGCTCTCTCACCAGTC